AAAAGCAGGAGATACCCGAGTGATTTGGAGGGGGGCAGAGAAGAAAGCCCCTCCCCAGAAGCTATGAAGACCACACATAGCAGCGAGAAGCTCTGTGTCATGTACAAAGTGTGTATCTCGTCATTAAAAACAAGACCTCCTCAAGTTTTAGCATAGGCCTGAACTGCATTCCCCCCAGCCCTTAATTCACACACTAGACCCAGCCCAGAATGGTCTTACAACTCAGCTCAGCCCAATTTTCCTAAAAGAGGAGAGAACATATGCCAAAATATTTCCAAGCTCCACCCTCCAGCTGCATTATAATATCAGAACATATTCTTTTAAACTGAACCGGCTTGCCAGTGCTGATCTAGATGGGCTGATCTCCTCTGACACCAGCAATGTGGACTAGAACCTTGATTGATTTTTTTAAAGAGGAGAGTTTAAAATCTCAAACCCCTGAGTCTGTGTGCTGGGAATTTCTGCCACTGCAAACGTGAATATCTCAAAGAAGAATCCTTGCCCAGGACAGAATCTCTTGCTGCAATGGATTAATAACAGAAGCAGAAAAAAGGTCTGCTCCCCTCTCATAAAAAGAAAAGAGGAAAAATTAGGCAGCATCAAGCAACGTCCTTCACTCTGCCCCCCCTTCTCTCTCTCTCTCTCTCTGTCCCTTCCTCCCTTCCTTTTGGCTGCCATGGAAACCTGGGGAGGGGGAGTGAGAAATATATAGGGTAACTCACTTTAAACTCACTTGCGTCTATTTTTAACCCCACCAGAAGAAGGAGAAGGTGGGTGGGTGGCAGGTCTTTGCCAGCCTGGTTGGGAAAAGAGACAGGTTCCGTTGGTGTGAATGCACCACCCAGGGGAAGCACAGACTTTGATGAGAAAAACAGAAGCTTTTTTTTAAAAAACAAATTTTATTGGTTTTTTTACTTTTACAACAGAATGCTCAAGACACACCGTGGTGGTTAGGGGATCAATCATCCAAAAACAAAATCATATAATAGCTCAGTAAATAATATAACCTATTTAACATAATCCATTTCTACATTACATATCTATAAATCCTAATCCTGTTTTGAACTTTATTAATTTACAGTTACCATAGTCCAATTTAATCTTAGATCAACGTATTATCACTTCGGGTATCCCTTCTAAAATACTAATCCAAATATATTCTAATTCATAATCTCATAGATCATTGATTTTACCACACATCTCTCTTATTTCTTCAGATAGCATTTAAATCTCATTCAAATAATTATCATGTCTAAAAAAAAAACCACACATATTACACAAAACATCGTCTTACTAACTTAATACACTCAATTAGTTGCTAAAGCAATCAAAATTTCTAAAAACCTCTTTCATATTCTTATTCTCATTCCATCACAAAATAATTTTCATACAAATAAACATATTATTCCAAAAAGTACATTCTTACTCTGTTTAACATATATATTCTAATAATCACAAATTTTCAACTCTAAAACTTAGTCCTTAAATCAATCCATATTTCTCAAAACCTTTTTAATCCATTACATATAATTTTAAATTTCTTTTTTTGATCTTATTTTGGCTTTCTTTTTATGTCAAGCAGGTTTCCATAACAAAGCTTCTATTTCAGCAAATAGATCTCCCGTTATTGCTTGTAATGTCATTTGGGTCAGTAAAAGACCTCCCATCCTCTGTTAGAAAAACAGAAGCTTTTAAACCACACAGAAATAACATGAAAGCAAGATTTGGTTTTCCCCTGAGCTCATCCCCCTCCTTATTGCTGGCAGGATTGACCCAAAGAGAACACCCTGGGCCAGAGCTTAGTCCCGACAGACTGGCTGCGCAGAATACATGGTAACTGAACAAACCATGATTTGTTTGCTCGTCTTCTGTCGTCAAAGTGGGCCAGATAGAGGTGGCAAAGACTGGAGCCCTCCCTGCCCTTGTTTCTGCAAGCCACTCTGCCCAGTCACCACACCCCACTCCCACGTGGGCTCATTTTTAGTGAGAGGTTTCTGGGGGGGGGGGCTTTGCCTCTGCCACAGCCCTGGGGCCAAGGAGACTTTCCGCAGCTCGCCATTTGACCCGAAGCTCCTCCAAGGCTTTCTTTGCTGAAAAGGGGTGATCCAGACAGGGAAAGTGTTGTGGCTGAACCCCCAAAGGCTCCCATATGGAGAGGAGAAAGCAGAGCCCTCCGAGGCGCTTGCTGCGAAAGCAGCCCTCCAACACTTTGTAGAGAAACGACAGTGACAAGAGATGCCGGGGAACAACAGATGGTCTTGGAAATGAAGAGAAAAGAGGGGGCTATTTAACACCCCCACTCTTTCTCCTTCTCCCTTCACTGGTTTTGGCAAAGCTTCTGGTGATACCGAGCATCATAAATCCATCAGGTCCTCTCACAGCTGCAACTGCAACAAAAGAGTAATTTATAATGACATAAAAGTTCTACAAATTTTCTGCAATAAACTGTACGATCCTTCTGTAAAGCTGCCATTATATCCTGGAGGATTGGGGAGAATGGAAGGGCCAGAGTGACCACAGCCAAATGCCACGGCTGCTTGCCAATTGCCAGGTTTTGTTGGCCACAATCCCTGTCCAAGGTACTGAAACCCCTTTTGCCAACCTCGGATCAGACGTTCTTCTCTGGAACATCTCGTGGATCAACGCTCAATTGAGCAATTCTATATTTTGCAGTGTGTCCGTCTCTCCCCATTTTGCTGAGCTCCAGATTTTCAGGCCTAAGCCTGATTTGTACTCCTAAAAATCTCACAGCAATATTTTTTCCTGCTTTCTGATGGATAGCTGTGGGAACTGATACGGTCTGTTGATGCAGAACATTTCCAGTACGGTAGTTAGTAAGCTGTAACTCAAGAGCCTGGCAGGGCAGCTCTCCCGGCTAAGGACATTTTCTGCACTGGGCCTCTCATAGAATCTTAGGTCTGAAAGGGACCTTGGAGGTCTTCTAGTCCAACCCCATGCTCAAGGCAGGTCAACTGGCCCTCCTTCCCTAACATCTGGAAGAAAGAGCAGAATGCCTCTCCCCCTGCAGAATCCCTGGAGGTCTCCCGAATTTCAGTTCCCACAAGTAATCCACCTGTCAATAGACCTCATTATTCATAATTCCCTCTCCTGGACAGCCGGCTGCAAAGCTCCGTTCTGGTGGTGACCAGCAGAGAAGCTGCCTCGTCTCTCGTCATCCCTTTCCGCTCTTATGGCAACGTCAGGATCCATGACTGGCTAAGTCAAGAGAGGGTTCAGGAAGCGGCTCAGCGAAGACCAATCTCAGCTGCCCTCTCTTGGCAGAAGACTCCACTGCCCCCCCCCCCCCGCAGCACCACTTTTGCTCTGCTCAATCCGCAGATGCAGAGGAAAACTTTGCCAACCAGCAATTGTGGGAATCCCTGAGTTTTAGCTATTTAAATATAATTAGTATTGGAAGGTTTTCCACTTAGTCTCACAATTGCCCCAGCGTTACTCAGGAATTTAAAAGAGCCAAAGAAACTCCTGAGCTGAGGTTTCAACAAAGATTACAACTTTATTTTGATCAAAATAGAGAGGGGCCGCCCTATTCCTCTTCGTGGCTGGTAGAGGAATGAAAGCAACAACCAGAAAAGATGTCTTCCACCTTTTATACCTTTCCAGAACAAAAAGATCAGGTCTTGGTACCAGGCATAAGATGGCACAAAAAAACCAATTCTTAGATGATGACTCATACACAGCAACCCAGGCTCCATCCCTAACTCCTTTCCCCCCTCCCCATACTGTGCTCTTTTCATATAAGCAATCACCTGTACCTAAAGCATGAAGCCCTTACTTTTCCAATATATATATAAAGCATCTGATCAAGCAATTAACTACAAAATAATGATTACCAAATAACAAAACAATGATTACATGATAACACCATAAGTATCAATATAAAATGGTTACTATATATAAAATAAATGCTAATGTCTAACTTAAACATACTAAAATCAGAAGCACAATAAAATCCCTTCACTATCATCAAGCCATTTGCAACTCCTACCAGCTACATGGATTTTTCTTTCTATATATATTTATTTAGAAAGAAATGCACGTGAAATATAGAACCGGTACATTCACTATGATACATGGATGTCACATATCAAATTATAACACACATAGGGGGCTGGACTAGAAGACCTGTCAGATCCCTTCCAGCTCTATTCTATTCTATTCTATTCTATTCTATTCTATTCTATTCTGTTCTGTTCTGTTCTGTTCTGTTCTGTTCTGTTCTGTTCTGTTCTGTTCTATTCTATTCTTGTTTCTGTCTCTACTCTATTCTAAATTATTGCAATGGTTTCATTTAATAATCAGTCCTGCCAAGGGCTCTCCTTAAAAAGAAATTTTAAAGAAGGCCACAAAAACCGAATCTCTAGTAAAAGAAGCGCGTCTTCTTGCAATTCCGATATTGGGCATCGTAAAGTCTGGGGAAATGACGTCATAATATTTTCAGGTTGCCGGATCTGACAAAGCGCTTCGCTTCTTTGCCCAAAACAAACATGGCCGCGCCGGCTTTCTGCACCGGAAGTTTTCCTATTCGGAGTGAGCGGCGCTAGGCAGATAAGGCAGCCAAAGGGGGGAAGGCGGTCTTCCTCCCGCGCCCCTTCTTTGTTTCCCCCCCCCAGAGATAAGAGGAGCAATTTGCGCCGCCAAAGCGAGGCTCACCCTCGGCTTCCCTCGCGCCCGTCTCCTTGACAACACATTGGCCGTCTTATTTTTTTAATCCGAGCGTCCCGCCTCCCTCCCCTTCCTTCCCCATTGGCCCAAAGACGACTTTTCCGATGGACATGGAAATAAGCCAATCGCGTTCCTCCACGAAGACAAGCCTCTCGGGCCTTGTGTATTCCCCTCCTCCCTCTCCCTCCCCGAAAGGAGGCGGGACTCAAAGGGAGATCGATAAGTGAGAGCAGCCAATGGAAGAAGAGGGGGCCGTCAGTGGAGGCGGGGCTACGGAAGCGAGCCCTACAGCGACCAATCAGAGGACGAGGAAAGAAGGACGGGCGCGTTGAGGGGCGGAGCCGGAAGGGAAACTGCTGTAGATGATGGAGTGGGGCACAGAGCGAGCCGGGTAAGGGGAGGGGGGCAGTTGTGGGGAGAGAAAGGGGGTCTTTTAGGGGAGGGGGGAGATAGTTGGGAGGACGAAAAGAAGGAATACGGGGGGGCAGATCCGGGGAGGGGGCAGATTGGGGAAGAACCGGGGGGGGGGAAGAGAGAGGAAGGGGGGCAGATAGAGCACTCTGGAATTAGGGGAGGGGGGAGGAGGGAGGGTCTGGCTGGGGGGGGGGTTCTCACAGCCCCCCATGGGCGAAGGGGGTGCTTCTGCCAGAGCCTAGCTAGGGGTGGCTCCCCAGCCAGACCCGGGTTTGTTGGGTTGTGCAAAAGGGGCGAGGAGAGTCACCTGGGGATGCCCTGCTAATCCCCCCCTTCTTTTCCCAGGTGAGACCCACCCCAAAAGGAGGAGGATGCGACCCTGGCTGTTCCTGGCTTGCAGATGAACCTGGTCTCCATGGCAGCCGCGGTGACGGTGGTGGAGCCAGAGCTGAAATGGGTCTCCCTCTGGCTCCGGTCCCGTTGGGCGGCGGTGCTGGCGGCAGTGCTGGCGGCTCTCCTGGTGGTGCTCCTTCCAGTGCTGCTGGTGGAGGAGCAGTGCCAGGCCGCCCTCCAGGGCTGGGCCTTCCTCAGGAGCAAGCTGGGGCTGGGCTACATGGGCATCGCCACCTACACGGGGCAGACCACCGAGCTCAGTGTGACCTCTGGCGGGTTGGAGCTGATGGTGCTGAAGCCCAAAGCCTCCCCAGGTGCGTCCCTGGACCCTTGCATGCACTCCGGATTTGCTCTCCAAAGAGGCACCAATAAAAGAGAATAATTGTGGGTTGAAGTGAGGGCGTCCTTGCTGATGATGCTTGCAGATTATAAATAAACAGTCTCACTAATATCTCTGTCCTGTTATCTCTCTGCTGACGTGTTGGGACTTCAGTTCCCAGAATTCTGACTGAGAATGTTAGGAGCTCCTCCTAAATACACGCAGAGGCACCCAGTGGAGGAAGTTAAGCCTAACCAGACACCACCCTTTCTTTTGTGTGTGTAGACTGCATTTTGAGAAGTCCTGTTTCCTTTAGTTGTTCCTGAATTTCTTAAGTCGGTTGATTTCAAACTTACCTTAACTTTGGGTTTTCTGAAGGTGCCCCAAGAAGCTGCTGGAAAGAATCCATATGCGCTTCAATACAAGGCACAAAATAACCAAAGCTAACTGAACCAGCATGAAATTCACCATCCAGCTGAGGTTAGGCTGAGTTGTCTAACAACGGAGGGTAGAAATGGTTTACCTCTACATCAGGGGTGTCCCAGCATGGCTGGCTGAGGAATTCTGAGAGTTGAAGTCTTAAAGTTGCCAAGGTTGGACACCCCTGATCTAGATGTCCTGCAAAATACATTGCTGAAGAAAATGCACTCTTTCATTTCAGAGGTCAGACTAGAAGCCAAAGCTGCGCTGCATCAGGCGTTGGAGATGAAAAGACAAGGGAAGCGTGAAAAAGCTCAAAAGCTCTTCCTGCACGCCCTCAAGATGGACCCAGACTACGTGGATGCCTTGACCGAGTTCGGCCTCTTCTCCGAGGAGGAGAAGGACATCATCCAGGCCGACTATCTGTACTCGAAAGCCTTGACCATCTCCCCACACAACGAGAAGGCTCTGGTCAGCCGGGACCGGACGCTGCCTCTTGTGGAAGAAATCGACCAGAGGTACTTCAGCATCATCGACAGCAAAGTCCGGAAGGTCCTGTCCATCCCCAAAGGCAACTCTGCCCTGCGGAGGGTGATGGAGGAGTCCTACTATCACCACATCTACCACACGGTGGCCATCGAGGGCAACACTCTGACGCTTGCCGAGATCCGGCACATCATCGAGACCCGATACGCCGTTCCCGGGAAAAGCCTGGAGGAGCAGAACGAGGTCATTGGCATGCACGCCGCCATGAAGTACGTCAACACCACCCTTGTCTCTAGGATTGGCTCCGTCACCCTCCCGGACCTCCTGGAGATCCATCGGAGAGTGCTGGGCTACGTGGACCCCATTGAGGCTGGCCGATTTAGGACTACCCAGGTCTTCGTTGGCCACCACGTCCCGCCCCACCCTCGTGACGTGGAGAAGCAGATGCTGGAGTTTGTGCAGTGGATCAACTCCGAGGACGCCATGAGCCTGCACCCGGTTGAGTTTGCCGCTCTGGCCCATTACAAACTGGTGTACATCCACCCGTTTGTAGATGGCAACGGGAGGACATCGCGGCTCCTGATGAACCTGATTCTCATGCAGGCCGGCTACCCCCCAATCACCATCCGGAAGGAGCAGCGGGCCGAGTACTACAACGCCTTGGAGGTGGCCAACGAAGGGGATGTCCGGCCCTTCATCCGCCTGATTGCCAAGTGCACCGAGACCACCCTTGACATGCTGCTCTTCGCTACCACGGAGCATTCCGTGGGCCTACCTGAAGCCCAGGACGGCAGCAGCACGGACTGCAAACAGACCATCTCGCTCAAAACTCGGACCTGAACCTTGGTAGCGAAGGACGCCCCCTACGGGAGAAGAGCTGGGAAAGCACTTTCTGTAAAACATTTCATTTATTTAATTATGTCTTCTAAGTTAAGTTGTTTAATGCAGTGACCTCTCCATATTTATTACCCTCAATAGGCCCAAAGTTAACTTTTGTCTAATTATATTGCAAAAGGGAGCAGGCCAGTCTTAGCGGCTCAGAACTGTTTGGGCTGGTTAAGTGTCAAGCGGGACTACTTTAGTTGGGAAAAATTCCTACCCACAGTCAGCTTTCTAGCCAAAGATGGTCAGATATGGAAAACGTGGCGGTTACTTTACCCAGCCAAGCCTGGCTGAGGAGTTTATTGCTGTGCTTAGTGAATTGATGCTGTTTTGGTATTGTTCAGTTTGCTAACCACGGGGAGGCCCAAACTCCACCTATTTAGGAAAGGAAGCTTGTGTGAATCCCACAAAGCTGTAATTTCACCTGCCCTCCTTTATGCTTGTAGCCGTTTCAAACCTAAAACTGAACCAGCTTCCTGCCTGCCAGTGCCTTAGTAGGGACATGTATTTGTACTGAATTGTGCCTTAGCTTTTCCCCAGCCACTTTTCCAGTAGAACCACTCCAGAAAGAGGTCTCCGTTCAGGCCAGAACCTAAAGCAAAATCTGTGGACTCTTTAAAAAGAAACAAAAAACCGTGAATAGACAATACCAGAGCAGAGTCCACTCTTTGGAAGTTGGAGATCTCTCACCATCCTATAATCCACGTTTGCTTGTTTGGCTCTGGTGTGATGTTGTCTGTGCAAAAAGCCTATCAAGCATCAAATACTCAAAGTCAAAGGGCTTCCTGAAAGCCCTTCTGTTAGCACTTTACTTCTGTTCTACTCGGAACGTGCAAAGGTTGCCTGATTTCAAAGGAGAAAAGGTTGAGATGGGGGCGGGCTTTTTGTTAAGCTGCAAACCTGGCATCCCCACACACAATCTGCCACTGAAGGAGTCCCTGTCCCTCTCCTGCTCACGTCCTCGGCTCGCCCTCTCGGTTGCCCCATGGAAGGACTCGCAGGAACAACGCAATCTTAGTCCAGACTTGAGGGAGAGGCCCCCTGCCCATCTCGGTCCATTTCTAAGGCAAGCCGGGCAGGCACAACCACGATGCAGTGTGTGAAATATGAGCAGCGCCTAACAAAGTGCATTTGCACAACCGTCTGTGCATATTTGGTTGGTTACAATAAAGAGATTGCCCGACTCTGGCTCTTTTTTAAAAAAACAGGATTGCATCTTCTGCCTCACAACTCCCAGGTACACAAAATTAGGGCCATTCTACAAGCGTGCAGAAAAGTTCACTCAAATAAGATGGGCAGCCTTGAAGTGCTGGAATTTCCTTTGTGACATTGTTTAGTTTTCAAGTAAGGGAGCAGAATTGACTACTGCTGCGAGTTGCTTTTGTGAACAAGGAATTAGGTGTTCTTTCATGCCCACCTTGCGTCCTGCTCCTTATTGACAGCAGCCCTCAGCATGCCTGCATGTTGCAGATGTGGCTGGGGGGGGGGGGTTGTTCCTTAACCAGCCCTTAACCCAGGTGCCCAGGGAGGAACCATGCAAAGGGGGGGGGGAAACTAGCAGCCCAGTTAACCCCTTCCAGCACCCAGGGCCTGCTTATCTACAAAACAGGATTATTGGATTTGAAGTCAACCACCGGGCGAGGGAGGGTCCCCCTAAGAAAAAAGATTGAAAATGCAGTTTTTTAAAAAATACCCCGGCATCTTCTCCCCATTTCTGCAAACAACAGCACCCACCACCCTCATCTTGTTTCGGCAGGTCAAATAAGCAGCAACGCTCGCTCAACTTGAAAGAACAACTTTAATGAACCCCAAGAGGGAAACGCCGCAGGCTCACACTTCACATTGTATACAACTTTTTTTTTTTAAAAAAACATTGCAAGCCAAACATCTCAAGGACCCAAACGGGTCTGGCTAGAGACCATTATAGGAACCTGGCAAAGGGAAACACGGAAGCTGCGCAGAGGGTCTGTCTCTCTAGTGCTGGGTCAATGAAAGCTCAAAAATGACCACCATGTGCTTTTCACATCCGCAAAGAGGTGTGCAGGTTGGGTCTGTGTATAAAAAGACACTCAACTCTGAGCAAAACGGTCAGTAGAAACACCTGCCCTTCTACCCCAATACTAAATTAGGCCATTATGGTGAAGTTCCTCGCATCTGCTATTTATACTCATTTTGTACATGAGAAGGAGCTGGACCGGCTCAAGGCTCCTGCGCACACGGAGGCAGTGTCACAAAGCTGCCTAGCTCAGCTCAGCGCCTGTGGTGGGATTTGTATAAACTAGATCGAGACTCAATTCACATTAAACTCTTCATTTGGAGAACAGCTGAAAAAAACCCAACTATTAAAACATACCGTGTTCAGCTTTGAAGTAAGCTCTTGTCACATGAAACCCCCAACATGAGGGAGCATTTAAAGCCATTTTTAACAAATTCCTCGCACGCACCCCAACTCAATAAATTTGCCCTCTGATAATTCAAGGTGGTGGGGAATCGACCCCTCCCCGTTCGGGCTTTCGGTGGACATAAAGTCCAAACTGGAACCGGAGGGGAGCCACGATCAGCCACAGCATCTGCTTCGGGGAAAGACCAGCTGATGACTTCCAGGGGGCTTGGCAGCCCCCCGCTTTGCTGGTCAAGGGCAGCAGTTCACTTTTTCTGCAGCAGCTTGACAAAGTCCGCGTTGGACATCATCTTGGGCTTTTCCGCAGACGGGGAGGGCGTTGTGGGTGGGTTCTCCACCATGCTGTTCGTCTCCTTGGCTGCTGGCTTGCTGGGACGCTGCAAGGCACGAGGGACCATCGACAGCTGGGTTCTTCCCTTGCGACGGCTGTGGAAGGAACAGACCACGAGGCAGCACCATTAGGGCCCTTCGTGCGCTTGGAAGATAAAGGCCTCAACGCCACGGAGTGACGGAACCCAGGCAGCCAGCCAGAACTCCGTTTCCTCCAAACAATTCTAGACCACAATCCCAATTTTAGGGTTCCTTTGGCTGCAGGGTGCTCCTTTCTGAGTAATCCACACAGGGCCTTGCTAATTTCTCAGTTTCCAAAGACACGTTGATAGCTGTGTGCCACGTGATTTCCATCTAGCTGATGCTGATAATAAATCTAAAAACTTAAAATACATAAAGCCCAACTGATTTCCGAAATGAGAAACCCCAGAGGCTTAGGTTAAATAAAAACCCTCTGCTTAAATAAGGTTCAAAGAAAACCCTTTTCCATTCTGGAGCCCTGGGCTAAAAACACTCACGCGCCCGAAGCCGGCTGAAAATCCTGACTTTGGGACGGTTTCCCCACAGCTTCCGGCCCCTCAGGAACTCTCCGAGCCGGAGGGTCGCTGATGGCAACTTTAATGATGTGGTCCATAATGGCCAGCCCATCCATCTTCAGGACCGCCTGGGAGGCCTGTGTTTCGGTCTCAAACTCCACGTAGGCCAAGCCCTAAGGGGTGAAACAAACCTGCTCTGGATTCCTTTTTCCAAACACAGCTCCCCAGCCGGATCTTAGGAAGACCAACATCCCCCTCCCCTAATTCCTGCTGGCTGGGCAAGGCAGGGCAGGGCAGCACCCCGAAAGCACACCTTGGGTTTGCCAGCTCTGTTGGTGACCAGCCGGATATCCTTCACGTTCCCGTGAGCTTTGCAGACCTGTTCCAGCTCCTTTTTTGTGCATGAAAAGGGCAGGCCGGAGATGAACAGCTTGTGCTTCTCAAGAGCGGTGCTGTACTTGAACACCTGCAGGAGGGCAAAGGAAGGAAGCTCGAGCATAGGCCCGCAGGGTGTGTAAGTGTTTGTGTGTTTGGAGGGATGGGTTCTATATTCAACTTGGTGTTTATTTTAACAAGTTTCACACTTCCCATGCTAGGCTCAAGCTTCTGATCTCCAGCCTTGTTTCTAAAGCTGGGGTCTCCTAACTTGGCAACTTTAAGACTTGTGGACTTCAGCTCCCAGAATTCCCTGGCCAGCTTTGCTGGCTGAGGAATTCTGGGAGCTGAAGTCCACAAGTCTTTAAGTTGCCAAGTTTGGAGCCCCTTGGTCTAAAGGGAAATTCCACATCTCTTCTCTATACACGGGGACAGCCTTACCACCGGCGCGCCCTGCAGTGGCTCTTTGGCTCTCCTGCTTCTGCGCAGCTCAGGAGCCGTTCCCTCCCCTACAAGCTGATCCTGCCCCCCTCCCCCCGACTCCCTCGAGCGACGGCAGGAGGGCTACCTTGAAATCCGGATTCTTGCTTTTGTCCACGTACGGAGAGACAAACATCGGCCTGCCTTCCACCACTCTCCGGTCCAGACCGAAGGCCTGCAGAGCTGACCTCTTCTCCTTGAATTCCACGTAACAGTAGCCGCGGAATGCCCCTTTGTTGCTGAAGATGGGGCGGACTTCGGCCACTTCCCCGCAGCTGGCAAAAAGGTCTCGGAGTTTTGCCTCTGGCTCGGCCATGCTGTACGGGAGGTTGCTGACAAAGACTGTGAAGCCCTCCTTCTCGCTGTCGTGAAAGACTTTGGGGGTGTCTTTCCACTTGGAAGCTGCTGCTCCTTCTCCCTCTTGCTGGAAGTCGAAGGTCTCTGCAAAGAGCGCCATCGCTTCGTCTTCCACTTCCATCGACATAACCCCGCTGCCACCTTTCGGCCTCTTGACAGCTAGTTCGGCTGCTCAGGGAACATGAAGGGATTCAGAGGTTGCTAAGGACGTGTGTGCGTCCGTGTGTTAGGGTTAAAGACGCAGAGCTTGCCCGGGTTCCAGACCTGAGTGCTGTGCAACAGGGTGAGCCCCCGTTATCTGCCCCACCTCCTGCCCACCTAGCAGTACGAAAACATGCAAAGGTGAGTAGATAAATAGGTACCACTTCAGAGGGAAGGTAACAGGAACGTGATCCCTTATGACACGATGGCTTATGGGACTCTCAGTATCTTTTGCTAAAAGGCCAGGTCAAATCAAATCAGAATTCTCCCCTCCCCTTAATTCCAGTTTCCTGGTCACCCCGAAGAATCCCAAGCACCAAAGCCCAGAAGCAGAGCGTGGCCAAAGTGATGCTGCCGCTACCTTCCTCCTCCTCCCATTTGCCATCATTGTCTGCCTTCCGCTTGACTCCGGCTTTGGGCTTCTTGGACTGCTTGACGGCTTTTTTCTTCTCCCGACTTTGCTTGCGCTGCTCCTCTTTCTTTTCCTCCTCTTGCTTTGCCAGAGCGGCCTCCTTTTCTGCCTCCTAAAAGGACAAGCAGCCTCATGAGCAGAAGCTCCAGTCTGGGCTTTTCTCTCCACACAAGACGTTCACAGCCCTTCTGGGCTGCAACTGCTGAGCCTGGCAACAGGGGTGCTCACTCAGAGGCATCGCTTTGGAGTAACGCAGGAAGGGAATACGGGAGGTCTTTGGACTGCGCCCCTCTTCCACAAGGGGAAGAGAATTAGGGTGAAAAACCCTCTGAATCCCTCCAAAGGCTAAAAGCCGCTGTTCTCATCCACGGCGTCCTCCACTCTGCAGCAGCAAAGTCCATGCGTCACCGTGAAGACTTAGGCCATCTTTCTGCTCATAACCCTAGGAGACCTCCAGAAAGCAGGTCAGACACTCACACAGAGACCCCAGCCCACTTTTACTTGCAAGAGGAGAGTTTTTTTTAAAAAATCTTCACCTTTGCCCTCTGCTCTTTAAGTCGAGCCAGTCGTTTATCTGTCTTCTCAACTGCCAGATCCCAGTCCTCTAAAGTGCCTGTGAGATGACAGGAAAGGAGGTTGAGTCTCTTGCCCGTCCTCTGAAGTTCCATCAAGGCTCAACCAGTCCTGCTGAATGACCGGGGGGGGGGGCTCCTTGAACTAAGCCGCTCTTGGGATAATCTCAGGACTCCGCCCAACCTGGCGCTTTAAGAGTTTGCTTAAGGCAAAACAGTGACCCACCAGCTTCTGGCTTCAGAAGGACTCTTCGCTGTAAGCTGGGGATGCTTCTGCGTGTGGAGCATCCACCTCAGCCTACTTGTGGGAGGGGAAATTCTAAAAGGAGCAACTTTCTCTTTGCATTAAGGCATTGTGAGAACCTGAAGAGAAGCTGCCGGGGGGGGGGGGAAGAGTGAGGAACACAGGCTTCCAAAGGATGAATTTACACAGGACGATGAGCTCCCCAAGATCAGCCCTAGCAGGAAGTGGGAGCTGCTCACCTTCAATTCTCATCGTCGTGAGCAGCACCTCACATACATGCTCTGGGTAGTCCTGTGTGCACTGCACGGCCCGGAACAACGCTCTCTTGGAGTAATAGGGATCCCCATGTGCCCTGCAGCCAGGGAGGAGAGAGAGGGAGATGCAGCCAAAGAGACACAACTGAGCCAGACTTTGACTCCTGTAGGAAGGAAAGCTGGGGAGGCCCTGGTGGGAAAACAGCAGGCGTGCAGCACCCCAACACCACTTCAGGAGGGCACTTCTTCCTCCCAGCTGGGGCCAGCAAGCAAAACATGGCTACTTTGCAGTCACAGTTTGGGAATGAACGAGGAATTCTTTCTGGCTGCCTGATGGGGACATGAAAGGAGCCCCCCCCCCCGGGCAACGGTGATGTCACCAGCTCACCCTTTCAACCGGGAAGACTTAAACAGTGCCCCCGACACAAACAGGACAGGGTCTCCACACGCCCCCTCCTGACCACTCGCAAGCCATGGAGCGCAGCAAGTGCAAAAAGCTGTTCACGTGGGCTGGAAGGAAGACTCCCTCTTACCGCTCCAGGTTGTGATACTCCAACCACATGTTGCCATATTTTGCGTTCCCGCTGACCATAATAATATCCCATAGTTCCCTAGTCTTTCTCATGTTGCGGCAGTAGACAGCCTAGGGAGGAGGAGGCCCCTATTAATATAATCTGAACGTATTCATGGGTGCCCCCCCCCCCGAGATGAGAAAATAAAAGCTAACAACAGCGTAAGTTAAGGTCACCTCAACCCTGGCCCAGGTCCGCAAAAGAACACAGGAAGGGTCTCCCTTGTCAACAAACTCTGCAGGAACACAGAATTAAGCCACAATTATTTCTGCTTGTAAACACTAATACACGTGGCAGAAAAACATTGCTTTTTAAAAAAAATAGTAATAAAAGGCAACTTACTCCGCTCAACATCTTCGTTTAAATATTTGTTGGCACGGGCAAAGGCTGACCGAAGCTCTTCCAGCTCCCGACTCAAGACTGAAAAACAGCAAGGAAATAGCACAGCCATTCAGAAGCCACCCCGGGGTACCAGCTTTGTGGAAGCAAGGTGTGTTTCTTAAACGGGGGAGCATTCAGGCCATGTTGCCCTGGGACAAAAATGACTACTTGCTGGGATTTGGAAGAATGAAGCCAAAACTAGGGGCTGTGTCAGAGGGATTGTGATTAGCACCTTCCTCAACCAGTAGTCACCTAGGGCAAAGTCAACTCTTCTCCGAAGGTAATCCAGATACGCCTGCCAAATTTCCAAGTAATCAGCGGCCTGAATGAAGCCAGCTTTCAAAGCCTCTTCGAAGGTTTCTAACAGGGGGAGACAAAAAATAAATAAGGGCAAACAGAACTTCAGCAGCCCAAGTTCTTCCCTTGCTCCAGTCTTGAATACCCCGCCTGAGCCAGGAGTAGCCCTCAAAGAAAGAGGGAGACAGCCAGCACTGTCTCCCTTCCCAGCACAGGACTTGGAGAGCAGGCAGAGTTGATCCAGGTTAAAAAAAAGTAAAACCAGCCAGCGTCTCCTGAGAAAGCCTACAGCTTGAAGAAAATCACGCAAACAGGACTGGAGCATTGTGTGACTTCCGAGGCTGTGAAGCCCCCGTTGGCCTCGGAAAAGAGAAGCCTCTCTTAGTCCTAGCAGATCTCTTGGTCCTACCTGAGATGATCTGGTGCTCAACGTTATGCCTCTCCATGGACAGTAGGTACTGGCTCCACAGCTTGACAGCCCACGGGCAATTTCTGACCGCTCGCTTGCAAGTGGAAAGTACCACCTCCTTCACCTTCAGCTTCCTGTCCTATAAAAGGAAGCAGGCAATCTTGGTTGTCTGCTCAGAGACCCCCCCCCCAGCACTTCACAGAGAAAGGATTAAAATCTCAGAAGCCAGAGAAAAGGCCAGAGACTACATTGAGTGGACAGTTATCCCTCTACAGAGCTAGCAATATCAAATAATCGGCAATAAAGCATTTCTGCAGATCTATTACTCCATGTACCCCCACAGACCTCAATTTCCCGAGGGTCTGAAATTCTTTTAACAAGAATTGCTCTGGTTAACCTGAACAACTGAAGCTCCTTCTCAGAAGGACATGAGACTGGAGAGAGTTTGCTGATGGAGGCACTTACCAAGTACTGAACGTAAGGAACCCAGAGATCTGGCACAAGGCAGTTCTCAACCAGGGCACGCTCATATATCAGCTGAATGCGAGTTGGATCCCCAATCTTCACTTCAAAGTCAATGTAAGCTTGATATTCGGCCAGCTTTGGGGTTTTAGCTATCAGCTGGAAGAACAAGAAAGGAAGAATGCTCTTTCAGGAAAGTAGAACAGTGAAAATAAACCATTAGGAACAACAACAACAACAAAAAGGTTACATTCAATTGCTCAGCATAAAACTCCCCAAAAAGGGGGGGAGGGCAGACAATCCCAGAAAGTTCTAAAAAAATATCATTTAGATACAATGAATTTGACACAGACTTAGAAGCAATTTTGTTCCTCCTCCCCTGACGAGCCTCAGGAGAAGATGCCAATGCCCAATCGCTGTCCTTTGGAAGTGAGCGCCTTCAAAGGGGACCCGCGACATTGGCCAGGGGAAGGAAGCCACCGCCGGCCTACGGACCGTGAGGGGAGCCACCTACCAGGGCCTCTTCGTAAGGCTTGTACTTCTGCAACTGCTGAACAGCCTTGATGTAGCTCTGCAGCACTGGCCCCGGGATCGGCTCCTCGGTCCAGTTTTCGTATTCCAAAAATGCCGACTCCATATCTCCAAAAAGAGAGACGAGCCCATTTCAGCCAGGAAGCGGAGCACAGACTCCGAATCCCTTCCCTCGCCTTAAGCCACCCTGAGGCTGCTTTGGCTTTTGGTGTCCCATGCCAAACTCAGCCACCAATTCCTGCTGGAACCGAGGAACAAGAAGCCAAAGCATTTTGGGGCAGGCCTGGGATGGAGAGGCAAGCCACAAAGTCTGCAGCTGACCCTTACCTATGAGGGGAACTGCCAGTTCCCGACGATAGAGCGCATGGATCCTCTCAAGTTGCACTCTGGTGGTCCGCTGCTCCTCAGGGGTTGGGATCCAGCCTGGGGGTTGCTGTCAGGGGAGGAACAAAGCACAGGCATCAGCGTTTCTCCTAAGCAGCAGAAGAGGACCGGAGTCCCAACAGCAGCTAAAGGACGCGCATGCATGGAAAAAAAAGTCTTCCAGCCCTATAGAGCACTATGAGATGGTATAAAAGCCTAAAGGCCAAAAGGCCATTGCCATCGTTGATCTTGACTTCCTACAAAACACGCCCACCCTTTGGGGAACCATCTCCAGACCAGGCAGCAGAGCAGAGCACGCTGGGGCTTACCTTCATGGTCGCCAGCAACATATTTTCAAACTCCCGATAGGCCTCCCAAATAGCAGCTCCTTTGGTCATATGGAGGCCGACAGCAGTGAGCGCCCGTTCCATGATTGAGCGAATTCTATCTGCCCCTATCGGGCCCAGGTCCCTAATGGAGAACTGGGTGTACTCCAGCCAGATTTCCGGACCTGGAAAACATCCCCAAGATGGTAGACAATCACTTTTGCCCGCTTTTGGGGAAAGAAGCTAAAGTTAACTCTGAATGTTTCATTTCCTCCAACAAGGTAAGTTCTTTGCAGAACCTGTTGTCTTGAGTCTGTCTGTTTTGGTGTTGTTAATCTTGGTTTGTTATTCCCTGGCAGTTTGTGTCTGAAAGAACATCCATTTAAAACTAAACTTACATATGTAGTCCTTTATTGCTCTCTCAAAAAGTTCATAAACTCCGTCTGTTGGAGCATCTTCTTTAGCTTGTGATATCTCATCCTTCAGCCACTCTAGCCACAGCCCTGGTAAAATGGAAGAAGCCATATCCAAAGGGGGTTAGAACGCTAACCCAGTTTAACCCGGAAAAACATATTGCTAAATAATGTATTACTAAGGCAGGTCCAAATAAGTATTTGTCTATACTTAGGTTCTACTAAATTCAACAGCTTTACGTCTGAACAGATGTTCATACAGCTACGTTACACTTACATCTCAAGAAACTAAAATCTTCACTGAAACAAATTTAATCTAAATAATTATCTAAAGTAAATGCTCTGGACTTTTGCTTGGTTTCCATCATGATGGCGTCAAACATCTGGCGGCAATTTAGTGGTGCCACAAGTAAATCACTAGTAATTTTAACTAAAATTACAGCAAAGCTGCCATTTTTAATCCAACCCAGAGAACAGAAGATAAAACATGCAACATAATTAAGAAACTTTAGCTTTCATTTAAAACCCGCACAAAATGTTTGCCAGAAAGCTTCTACTTTCTGGGGCTTTGGCGACTGAGCCAAATGTTGAATATTGCTCCCCCCTTTAAATTGCCTAATTTCTTCCCTCCCTCCCTGATCTGGGGAACGAGCAAAAGCCCAGGCACAGGAACCTTCTTTGTTTAAAAAACAGCAGCTCTTGCACATTTAACAGGAGTCACAGCAGTATAAATCACTGTCCATTTTCACCTAGGAATATATTCTCTGATGCTGTCAAAACTGGACTTGGTGTGAATGCAACACAAAACGAACAAGCCAGCTGCCTTTCTGCTAAGGTTTTCAAGCAATTCTACCCCACAGTCAGTTCAGACTGAGCCTGTACAATACAAAATTTAGATAAATGTAGTGTATGTACCCCAACCCCTAATACGTCAGTGGGATCGCACATTGCCCCAAAACAAAGTATTCTGGGAGTCTCTGGAGGTAGGAATGCAAAGTCTGGTTATTTTTACTGGTGACAGGGTCACTAAGATAAACAGGACAGTATTTTTTAAAACTCTGCCACATCAAGGGAGGTAGGGAAACACAACCACCCAACTTTTTACTCTTACTAAGTGCTCCAGTTGAAAATGCGTATTAAAAGTCTTCACTCTACATGCAAACTTTACATACAACTCTAACAATTTCATTTATGGAGGAAATCTTTCTGTGATCACTCAGTGTCCAATTTCCATTTATGTTTTACAAAATAGAACAAAACAAGACCAAAAGATTTTGCCTACCTTCAGTGAGAGGAAAATGCCGACTCATGCACTCGCGGGCTGACCGGAGCTCAGAGATCTTATATCCTTTCTCACGGAGCAGTTTTATCAGTTTTAGGTGACCGTCATAATCACAGGGATTGGTCTTCAGCTAAAAAAACATTATCAAAACATAATTTTATTTATGCGGCCCTACAGAAGCCTAGCTAAAAGCTCCTAACAAATGCCACCCAGGGATTTGGGCGGATTTTACTTATGGAATAAACAGGAACCAAGATCAGAAGGGGCCTCCTATGCAGTACATTAATTATCCTGGGTCAGGCATAATAGGCCGCTGCTTGGGAACATCTCAGAGTCAAGGCAACAAAGCACCAGATCGGGAACTGCAGATTGCACTAGAAATCCCTAATCTGGTGTTAGACCAAGAAACATGTGCAGTTTATGGACTGTTTACAGTGGAACCAAGATGGAAAGAAATCCTTTTTAGGCTGCCGAGCTAATTTAAGGTTCAATGGAATCTTGACACGCTGGAAATTGAATCTGCAAGATAACATGGTATAAACCCAAAACTCACACCAGTTAATGCAGAATATCACGGCTAGCAATGTACGCATGCCCAGCTCCCCCGGGCAGAACGTGCTCATGCAGGGAGGGCCTCCCCAGAGGGTAATAAGATGAAAGAACAGATTCACCTTCATGTTAAATTCTCTGCATGAGTCCCTGTTCTGGGGAATACACCTTCCAAAAGGGGAGGGGGGAGGGAAGCAATTCTCTTTAGTGACGGGAGCCACCTCTGTCGTGGGCTGCCCTGGAAATCCTGAGAGGAGACCGGCATCCCCGATTGATGCTCTGCATCATCAGGGCAATCTGCAGGGAGTCCTCTACTGACCATCATTCGTTTAGTGGCCGTGCGAAGCGGCAACGGCTTTTCACACTTAACGACCGTTGCAGCCTCCCCCACAGTTGCATGGTCAAAATTCAACCACTTGGCAATTGACTCGTATTTATGACGGTCAGTCTCTCTCTCTCTCTCTCTGTGTGTGTGTGTGTGTGTGTGTGAGTGAGGGTGGGGGTCACGTGATTCTGCCCTTGCAACTTTCTCACCAGCAAAGTCAATGGGGAAGCTGGATTCGCTTAACAACTATGTCATTAACTTAACCACTCTGCAGGGATTCGCTTAACCTCTGTGGCACAAAAGGTCGCGAAAAACGGTGGCAAAACGCACCTGAACAACCGTCTCGCTTAGCAACGGAAATGCCGAGCTCGATTGCAGTCGTAAGTCGAGGACTACCCGTACTAGAGACGCGGGAGGGTCCCTGCTCGCCCCCCCGTGCAATCCCCCCCAGGCAGCCACGCCGCCTTCCATCGACCCCCACCCCACCCGCTCCTCCCTCCAGGCGGCCCATCGAGCCCGCGGGGCAGGAAAGGGGGGGGCGTCGCCGGCCTGCCCGAAGCCCCGCCCCCTCGCCCCTCACCTTCAGCTTTAGGCGATCGACCTCCATGTCAATCTTGCAGTTGGAGCAGGGCGAGTCAAAGTAATCTTCATCGAGGCTGCTGTAGTCCGGGGTCGGGTCATAGTCGTTCGTGTTCACCGTCGGGCGATCGCCCCAGTCCACCCAGTCGTCCTCGTCCATCTTGCCTAGAGCCCGCTCTGACTGCGCCGCAAGGCCCCCTGCGTCGGCACGTTCGCGCGCCAAGCTCTCGGGCTGTCCGAACCGCTGCCTGAATGGAGAACACCCCGCGAGGGGAGAGCCGGCCTCGTAAACCTTTCAACGGGCGGTTTTGAGCCCCCGGGGGATTTTAGACTCCGGGCCAAATGGGTCGGAAAGAGCGACGAGGAATGAGTTGTGGGTCCCGCTTCAGACAGGCAATTGTGAGGGACAGGCGCGGGGAAGGGGCCTCAAGATGATCAGGCCATCGCTCGCTGCCGCAAAGACCCCTGGGAGGAACGAGCGTTTCCCCCCCCCCCGTGCAGGGGCATGGACTTGCCCATGCGCCAGGAGGGGGAAATGGGGAATGAGACCGAACTAAAAATGAAATAAAATCTATATAAAACACCCGAGTTGCCTCATTTGGGGGCGAGTCGGCTTCGTCCCGCGGCCAGGCTAAAGAGAACGCGAGAAATACCTGGCAACCCGCGAGCGGCTCAACCTCCGTCCTCGAAGGCGAAGGGGGCGTGGCTTGGCGGCTCGGCGCTTTTGCCTTGGCGCGACTTGATGGCGTCACGGGCGCGTCGCCCGCCCTCTATTGACGCTCTGTGCGGCGGCAGCAACGCAGCGCCTGCAAAACAGACAAGATGGCGGCGCTGCGGGCGTGTGGCGTACGGGCCGCGGTGCTCCTCAGGCCCGGCCTGGCCCGACCTCCGCCGGCCGCGGCCTACCACGAGAAGGTGGGCTAGGCCGGAGAGAGGAGGCGGGAGACGGTCCGGCGTTCCCGATGGACTACAACTCCATCAGTCCCGATAACGGGAGTCGCAGCCCCGCCCCTCGAGAGCGCCGAGCCTGCCCAGGCTGTCAAAGGACGGGCTGCAGAACGCGGGTCCCGGCAAAGCGGACACGCGTCAAGCCCGGGGATGGTGGGAAGGGAGCGAGGATCACAGGCTGGGGCTTATGGAGCGGGCGGGAGGAGGCCGGGCCGGGCGCGGTGATGTGTTTCCCTGACGGGCGGAGGAGGAAGGGAGGGAGCGCCCGGGGCTGTGCGTTTTCCTCCTCCCTCCTGGGCCCTTTTCCCTCTTGCGCCGCCTGTTCCTGGAAAGCAGCAAAGCGCGTTTGGCGAAATCGAAGCGCTTCGGGATTGGCTGGGGCTGATAGCGGGGAGCTGGGCGGAAAGGGGTGAGCCCAAGAGCCCCGATGCCCTGCAGTCACTGTCCTTGGCCTCCTCTCATAGCGATTTGGGGGCGAATAAGCCTCCCAGCCCCAGTTTTAGGGTGCTCAAAGGTCACATTTTGCATCCTCCAAACAAGCTGGAAGGTGGTAGAGAGGAGCCCTGTGTTATTTGGGGAGGCTTCTCTGCCTCTCTTCTCTATTAGGAGAATTCTCTCAGCTGCTCAGGGATCATCATCTTGGTTTTGCCCCGAATTTTCTCTTTCAGGTCGTGGATCACTACGAGAACCCCAGGAATGTCGGTTCCCTGGACAAGAAGGCAAAGAATGTGGGGACTGGCCTTGTGGGGGCTCCAGCCTGTGGGGATGTCATGAAATTACAAGTAAGCAAAGGCCCTGCTTTTCCCAGGAAGCTCAGCCTTCCCGGCCTGTCCCATCCCTTTCTGTTAGCTTTGTATGGACGGGCAATTGGTGTCTTTTAACTACCCTCAGGTCGAGGTGGACGAAAACGGGAAAATCGTTGACGCCAGGTTTAAGACGTTTGGCTGCGGGTCAGCAATCGCTTCAAGTTCTCTGGCGACTGAGTGGGTGAAAGGGAAGACGGTATGTCCTGCCCATTTCAAATCCTTGGCCCTATTTAATTGGAGTTACGTCCCGTCTTCCATCATCTTTGAGGACATTTGTGAGCCTTCAGCCTTGATGGGGCAGTCTCATGTAAAATATCGTGAGAACCTTCTTATCAGTGAGATCCTTGGGAAAGAGTTACCAAGAGCTACCCAGGCCTTGCTAAACTATCAATTTGGGTCAATTTCAGGTTGATGAAGCTTTGAAGATAAAAAACACGGATATTGCAAAAGAGCTCTGCCTGCCACCAGTAAAACTGCACTGCTCGAGTGAGTAGGATTTTCACTGTGGTTGTTGATTGCGTTCCTGGAGATCTTTGTTTCCCCTGCTGGAAGCAGCAACATCACGTGTTTGCAGGCTTTGGCAGCTTCTCTCTCTCTCTCCTTCTCCCCAGTGCTTGCAGAAGACGCCATCAAGGCTGCCTTGGCGGATTACAAGCTGAAGCAAGGGTCAAACACCTCTGGACCCGAGAAGAATGCAGCCAGTATGTAGGGCTCCTTTGCACCGCAAGACCTGGAATCCAGCTTCCCTTCATTCCACTTGTAGCCTCAGCACAACATCTAGGCACTGACCCATCAACATCTGCATTTTGGAAACACGCACAACTCATACGCACAATATTAAGACTGTACTACAGCCAACAGGATGCCGCAGCTTTTTGCCCTTGGCTTCTTTTCCTTTATGTGTGTGAATAATCTTCCTCTGAGATTTGATTTGTAGCCTTAGGATGGCCCCTGAAGGGGGATTAAAGCTGTCTCTTAGTTACAAAGAAAATTCCCAGGGCCATTTCAAGTATGATTCTTGAGTCCACAGGAACAAGCAGTGATGTATGATATCCGAAGGTTCTCCCTCCAGGGGTAGATTTAGAGCAGTACGGAAGCTCTTTGAGCTTATAACTACATTTCTGGTCCTTGATTTGGATGTAACAGCGGGGTAATTTTATGCTGCTGGCCTCACATTCCCCTGACACGAGGGAAAAACCTGATAAGTACAGTAAAGCTGTCTCTGTTTTGTTATTTTCTAGCTTGGAATTCTAAAGAAAGGAATATATATTTTATTTCACCTGATTGTTAATGCACAAATTTCAGAATTGTTTGCTGTTCAGCCTGTGGTACGCATGCAGAGATAATATATGTTTGTTCTATAGAACAATGAGTTCTTTTAGTTTGTGTTTATTTATATCCCATCTCTACTATTTTTATAAATAACTCAAGGCGGAGAACATACCTAATACTCCTTCCTCCTCCTCGTTTCCCGATAACAACACCCCTGGGAGGTTGGCTGGGCTGAGACAGGGACTGACCCAAAGTCACCCAGCCAGCTTTCGTGCTTAAGCAGGACTAGAATTCACATCTGGCTTCTAGCAACATAAAACACAAGGCCAAACTACCCATCTGCCGGCAAAAAGTTGCTTGTTGGCTGGGGAATTCTGGGAGTTGAAGTCCATACATCTTCAAGCTGCCAAGCTTGAGAAATACTGTACCAGGCCTGGAGACCACTTTATTTTTTATGTCCGTCCTAATGACTTTGGAAGTCTGGCGCTTTCCCCCCTGTTGCGTGGTGGTATCTATAAGCTTGTGATCTTTTCATTCCCCAAATCTGGTAGCTCTGGACAGTCTGGAGAACCGGCCTGAGAGAGCAGCAGAATGTACAGCAGGCTTTCATTTCTTAGCACGTGCAAAACAGCAGCTGCTGCTCTTGGTGATTTTATTAAAAAAAGTCTGCCTCATTGGAATAGGATCTATTGAAGGCGCCAGAGGGGACTGTTTTTGAATTAGGGATCAATTGACATGTCCAGGCTGGCTGATCAGATGCCTACGGCCCCAACGTGGCCATTCACTTCTGCAAAGGCTACCCAGGCAGCAAAATCTGCCGCTGCATTCTTCAGAGGCCAGGGAGAAGAGCAAGCCGGCAGATAGTGGGCGGCGGGAAGGTTTTTCACCCCTGTCAAGTGCCAGCTGCCACCCTGTGTTTGGGATAATTTATTGGCAGCTCAGGTTTCCAGCCAAAACAGTCCTCAGCTGCCGAAGCATCATCTGCTTGCAGTTGATCCCAGCAACTGGATAATCCACTCGGAAGCCATCCCAGTCAACAGTAGGCCTCCTCATTCAAAGGCAAAAAGGAGGAGATGCTTAAAAATAAACCATCCTGAGATGTTTTGGATCTGAAGAGTGCCTTCTGCTGAACAGGAGATTTGGTCAAAAGGGCCGAATCGACCCATTTTAGTCTGCCCATTTTCACCAGTGTTTTAGAATCAAAAGTTTTCCGTAGCAGATGATTTTCTAGTCCCCATTTTAAAAGCTCTCCAAGAAACAGCTTAGATAGCGACAGTATTGCTTTTTCTCTTTTAAATCTCCCTTTAGGCACCACAAAGGCATCCCTGCTCCCCTGAGCTCTCTAGTACAATTCGTTCTGAGGGCCTGTCGTGCCAGCTGGGGTAACAAAATGCAAGCCCAATTTAAACAACGCAGACCTTGCAGCAGAGAGCCAGGAAGGAGCCAGAGGCATTGCTGCTTTCAACAGCCCTGGAGGGGGGGGGGCTTTGAATAAGGGGCCACCTCAAGTCAGGCGGGCAGGGAAGGGAGGCAGAGAGGCTTCGGCTGAAGCTCTCCTTGAAGTGGGAAGAAGAAATGAAAGTAGATGTTCTCTCCAACTCCTTCTTTGCCTGTCATAAATATTGGACAGATTTCTCTAAATCTGGCCCATGTTGGTCACAGACAACCCGCAGCAACAGCTAAATTACAGCCTCCCTTTGTTCCAGGAAGCAGCCCGATCTTTAGTGCTCCAAGAAGCCTTTTTTTAGTCCTCCTGAGGTTTCTCCCAAATTCAAGATCAGCATTTTCACTTTTTTTTCACAAGCTCTGCCTTGTCGAACAGCCGCTTTGCCACGGGGTTGTTGCTTCTGCTTCTGAGAAATTAGGCAAATGGCAAATTAAGGCTTTCTCTGAAGGGGGACCTTGACATAAAGTGGAGAAAGGCTGTACAAGCAGATCAAGAATTGGGTTTTTTAAAGCAGGGCTGTGCTGGGAGTTGAGCACATGCAGAGAGGGAAGAGATGCACCCCATCCTCTTGCTAATGAAAAGGGCCCAAAGTGGCATCCGGGTTGCCCATTACAAGCCAAGGGTGGGAAGAAGGTTGCAGTTTCCCTCAGCTCACTCCACCTGGCCACCTGTTCCAAGGAAAGGGAGGCTGGTCAACTTTCAGCTAGGCTGAGGATGCCCACATCCAAACAAGGAGAGAAGCAACCTAGAACCAGCTGCCTTTTGAAAAGCACCTTTGGGACAATCCCGAAGGACAGGGCCCCAAACCTTTGGCAACTTGCTGAGGGCCACCCTTGTCCAGCAGGGGCCTGGACCACACGAACACCATCCTCAAGGCCTGTTTTCCTCCACCCCAATTCTCTCCTTTGCTGAGCTTCTTTCAGCCTTCAAAGCAGGCAGAATCTAGCCCGCCCAGTGGAAGGCAGGGGGAAAATCTCCATCTGGAGGCCTCTATGATGCTCTCCTTCTGGCCCAAGAATGCCGGCTATTTCCTCTTTTAATCCCCAGAGAGAAAGTCGTTTCACGACAGCGTTTGCTCCCCCCTTCCATCAAAAGACAGCCCACCCGAAGGAGGGCTGGAGAACCTTTTGGGACTGTTTAGGAAACGTCCAAGGACAATGACCAGCATCCCAAGAAAGCTTAAATCAAAGACCAGCATGGCGAGGTAGGACAACAGAGTTTAGCTGGCCCCTCTCCGAATAATTCAGTGAGTCGAAGAGCACGGCGCAAATCCTGTAATTCAGATTTTGAAGGGTGGTTTGGGTGTAATCTGAGACTGAAGGAACCATTTCCCAAAAAAAAAAAAAAAAACCCAGAGTTTATGAGCTGCATATTAAGCAAGAAATCTCTTTTGGCGGGGGGAGAGACCCTCTCCCACTTGTATGACAACAAGTCTTTTGCTATTTCAGATACTTCATAGGCTGTCTGGGGAATTCAGTGCACGAAAACCACCCAGTCCTCATCCACACATACACAGAAGCCTGCTTTATTATTTCTTTTTAATGGAACATACATCTATAATGGAGAAGAATACATGTGGGGTTATTGTAGGCTTATGAGGGGTCAGACAAGGGAAAGGAACATTACAGTTATGGCATTTTATTGAATTTGGGTGATTTTTTGAAATCATTGGCCATATTAACCAATTAGTTGTGCTGGCTGGGGTATTCTGGGAGTTGAAGTGCACACATCTTAAAGCTTAAGAAACCACAGTTCTAGGTGTTTGGACATATAGCTTCTGCCACACATGGACTTTAGCCACCCATGGGCTGGGTTGAAAAAGTGGTCTAAAACATCTGGAAAGCGGAGAAAGGCTGTAATGTTGCGTTTTTATCAACACGGTGCCCTTCCTCACGTTTTAAGGTTTAGGAAGCCCTAGAAAAAGATGCTGAGAGTTTCACAAAACCCTCTTCATGCTAACCCAGTTGGGGTTTAGCTTGTTGCAAAGTTCCCAGTTATTGTCATTTCCAGCCCCGTTAGAGACGCTCATTCAAAAATGGCCTTGAAGTGTAGGACTGCAGAGAATCCCAGAGAGGGTCCGAGTCTAACCCAGATAAGTCTTCAATACTACAATAAATGTTTCAGTCTGCTAAATTTATAGATGTTTTTACTAGGATTACAAGGATCACCCTGGGAGAAGCCCAGTGGGAGGAAAAGTCATAAATATCAGCTTTGCAAAGAGGCTGGGAAAAACCAAGAAGGAATTTTTGTTGCAAATAGTTTTCCTGACACACAGCTTCTTCAAGGCTTGTCATAAACCAGGTCAATCTTATTCACCTCAGCTGTAAGGCTTACCGAAATGTTTTTCTAGTTGACCCAGAAAGAGATTAGCACTTGGAAATCTGAAATCCAATGTCCTCCGTCAAATATAAAAACATTTTTTAAAAAAATGATCAAAAGTCTCCCCCCCCCAATAATTGAATTTTAAAAAGCCCCAAAATATTTTCAATATGTTTGAATGCTCAAAAATATGAGCCCTCCCTCCTCCAAAGGTTAACAACCATTTCGACAAGTGAAGAACTTTGGCGTTGAACATAGATAAAAACCCAGCTCTGTTGGGCTTCATTCACTCATGAAAGTCCTCAGTATCTTCTCCTCCACACACAGAAGTCTGAGTGTTTGAAGATCTTTAAGAGGAATAATTATAAGAAATGTCATCAGATTCTTCTCAAGGTTGGTTGTGTTGAGCGATCAGATCTCCTAAAGTGTCTGGAGAACTTGGAGTTAAGCATTCTCAGAACGTGGGGGGGGAGGAATCTTGGGTTGAGTGGTGGGATCCATTGCATATTGTTGCCATTGCTCAGATGGAAACTGTACTTAAAATCTCAAATCAGACTGGCCATTTTGAAAACATGTGGCTGTTAGTTCAGCTTTCAAAGCTGACACTAAGGAAAGTAAATGAATTAATCATCGATATAAGGGACAACTAAACAGAGTTGAGCCAAGATTTGCTTTAAAAGAAATACAGTATTGGTGTGAAATAACTTCAAGTTTGGCCCAAAGAGGATCTCGTCAGCAGTGGAGAAAGAAAGATCTGGACGACTTCGTGGTTGATAAGAAGGGGAACCAATTAGCTCTGCACACAACCTTGCTGCAAAATTGAGGGTTGATATAAATAAAGGTTGACCCAAAGAGCCCACCTCAAAAATTATGTATGTCGGTGCAGATATGCTCTCCCTGAGAGTGGGAAAGTCCTTGAGGTCTGTATTAGGATGGTTCCTCCAGAATAGTCCCAGAACCACATTGAAGAATATGCATCTTCAGCAGGTCTTCAAGATAAGTTCTATCTTACTTGCTCAGTGATATCTGGCTACATCATGACATTACGGTCACTCAGCTTCCCCCTCCCCCCTCAAGATGTGTTAAACAATTCTCATCACCTCCCGGGGCATGTTGGCAGGGAATGATGGGAGTCTGGGTTTCCCACAGCTGGAGGGCGCCAAGTTGGGTAAGTCTGCATAATTGAAGAAGGTCCATTAAAGCAAAACCACAACAATGTAGAACTTTGGGGTGTTTCCTAGCATGGGAGGTGGCTAACTTGTCTTCTTTACAGGTAATGTAAAGATCTGCTCCCTTCTATTTGATAAACAGATCCCTGTAGATTTTTATATTATAAACTGTCCCCCCACTGATGGGAACAGACCCCCTTCAGTTTTGGGACTCTTCTGTGGGGTCAAGAGTCAGTGGGATGCTGAGCGCCTCCTTCTCCTTCTCACCTTCTGAGATGGGCAGGGCAGAATTCTCGGTGGATGGGGGTTCCTTGGACTCCTCAGGAGGAGATGGATGGGTCTCCACCCCAGATGGGACCTCTTCTTTGGCCTCAGCATCTTCCAAATTGTTTGGAGCTGATGTCTCTGGAGGCAGATCAGCCTCAGCTGGTGATTTTTCTTCTTCTTCATCTTCTTCTTTGGAGCTGCCACCCTCCACTCCTTCTGTTTTTTGGGCCCCTCCCTCTTTTCCTTCAACCGGTGAGTCTTCCACAGGGGCACTTCTCCCATTCGCCACGATGACCTTGGTCGGAGACTTGAGGTTCTGGGCAGCAGCCAAGATGTCGGCCTGCAACTGTTTGGTGGAATCCACCGGCTCCTCTCGGTCCTCATCAGAGATCTTCTCAGGGACTTCGCTGAAGGCCTTGGCGCCCCCGGCCTTGTCGTTCTGGTCCACGTACTTCTTTTTGGGAAAAGATGACGGGTAATAGGCAGAGGCCTTGTGTTTCTGCTGTGTGATGACAGCTGCACACACGATGGAAAGGAAGATGAGGAGCAGGGAGCCCACCACAATGATCAAGAGCATGTACGTTTGGAAGAAGTCCACAATGCCGTCGAGGATGTTGAACGAGTGCGAAGTGCCATTGACCGAACTGACCACGAGGCTCCCCGAAGTGGGACTCACACTCAGCGTCACCCTGGCAGAAGAGGGGTCAGGGGAAGCCCCCTCACCGTCTCCGCTCCCCTCGTTTTCTTCCAGGGCCAGGTTCTCGATCGATCTCGAGGCACAAAAGGGCACCACCAAGAGAAGAAGCACACAGAGAGGGTGCATGGCCGCCATGACAAGGCTCAAAGGACCAGACAAATGTCTGAAAAAGACACAAGGGGTCTGTTATTCTTCACAGGGTTTTGAATCAAAGAAACCTTTTTTCTGGAAGGATTTCTCATTTCCACACCAAAAATAAGTTCAGAGCTAAAACAAGCGAACCCGAAGAATTGCAATCGTGCATGGAAAGCAAATATTTGCCCCATGCCCCGGTCTATTTCCTGCTTTTAATACCCATTTTACACTGATCTTGTATAAAATCTATGAGCCTCCACCAACCTGTAATGGTTTATGTTGTTTTGTTTTTACTTGATTTCTTTTGTTGTTTGCAGTTCTGATTTGTGACGGTAATAAAAATATTCATTTATTCTAAAACCCACAGAACAATAAACCAGCCTGAAGTTTCAAGTGTTAGGCAAAAGAATACAAAGCAGAGCCTCTCCATACCAGCTTTGGGTCCTTGGGGGGTCTCTGCCTTGGTTCTCAGTGGGAATCCCTGGCCTGCAGAAGGTTAGAGGGGCGTGTCAAGAGGTTTCCAAGCTGAAGACCCTCACTCTCTATCCCGATTCCAAAGGGGCAGCTAGACAGGGAGTCCTGGATCCCACAGGTTGGTGATCTGACCGGGTTTAAGATGCCTTCACGGGGACAGAGAAATGCAGCCCAAAACTCCGATTCAGCTTTAGAAGCAGCTGCATTAATTCACATCTGTCAGTTAAGTTTGGGGTGTCTCTGCAATGGGGGGCAATTAAGTTATTCTGGTCTGCCCAAACTCAGAGCCAAGCCCGACATGAGAGCAGCTCTCTGTTCAGAAAAGGAGAGGCAGAACTTTCTGTTTGGGAATCTGGGCATCACTCCGTGCCCGGAGTTGGTTTGCAGCCTCGGCTGCTCTCAGTAATTATTGGGATGGTGGTGTTTAAGTATCCCGAATTGGCCTGAGCAGAGCACAGCTGGCAGCGGCAGAAATTCCTGAGCTTGGAGCCTCTCAACAGAAAGGGCTCTCCGGGCTGAGCGATGCTAGACAGCTCAGGAACGCTGCTAGCACTCCTGTCCCTCTGGTTTACGTTAGGCCCCGTTAAGCTATCCGGTAGATCTAAATAGAGTTCAAGAAATGTCTCCATTCCTCCTCTCTCTCTCTCTCTCTCTCTCTCTGAGGACACACATCCTGGTCTTAATTTGGAACGCCCACAAGACTTTAGAAGTCCAGCCTAGAATTCTCAGGGATGTCCTTCTGCACATGACCAGAAGCTGACCTTTCCTAGAGACAGTCCAGGCTTTGAGACTTTTTTTCTTCCAAATTCCAGATGTTTTGCTAAAAGCAGCCAAACTGAAAGCCAATCCTTTCTTAGCCAGCTGAGGGCAACCCTCCCCCCCCCTTTGCCAAGCCTGGAGCCTTCCTGCAGCCCCCAGAGTGGGTGGTCTGGCCATCTGGATGTCTGGGGGGCCGGAACACCTGGAGGTTCCTGGACGGGCTGCCAGATGTGATTGGTCCCACTTTACAGCAGTTGTGCTGCTTTCAAGCACCTCTAAAACTTCAGCAGAACAACATTGTGGGTCATTGTGGATCAGAGGAGACCGAGAGCAGCCGGAGGGGGCTTTGCCAGGCCAGCCCCCACCAGGAGCTATCAGAGAGGTCCTTCCTTGAGTTCCATGGTCCAAATTTGCCTGATCTCCGTCCTCTGTTTGAATGGTTTTTCTTAATAAGGGATGCTGAAATAAAACGCCCTTCATTTTCCAGCCGTCTCCTTTTCTTTCCTGCCTCTCCGTCCACAATTTTGGGGGTGGGGGGAACATCTCGGTGCCCTGCTCTCCTGTGATCAGAGAGGCAGCTCTCTGGCTCCCCGAGCTAGCTTTTTGCCCTATCTGGCATCCCAAATCCACTGTGTTCCCAGGGTGTAAAGCTGCAGGTTGGGGTGGTGGTGGGGGTCTGCCTTGCACCCCCTCCCCTTCCCTTCAAAGGAAGTCAACTAGAGGTTTCCGAGCAGCTCAGACATCACCGTCCCATTTCTGGTAGTCACAGGTAGTCTGCTGCTGAGGGTGGAGGCTCTGCTCAGCTCTACAAACCTGATGTAAACCCCAAGCTTAGAGTACCCCAGTAGAAATTCAACTTTTTTATCCCCTGCTGCAGTATCTGGGAAGAAAGAGTCCTCCAATCCTCGGTCCTTGTTCCTGGGAATGCCTCCAACCCCGTGGCTTTGCGCAGACTGCCTCAATACAGTTGTCCGCCTCCCTCCCTCCCTCCTTCCCCAAAAGCATAACATATTCTCTAAACCCACTTTAGCTCTCTGTAATCTGAGAGCTCTCCGGTTCTCTTGGCAGGAACAAATTATCAAATGGCAATTAAATCAACAGGCCAGACTCCGGCTCGGGATCCCAGACCCCTCAGCCCCCCCCCCCCAGAGCCAGCTGCAGAATCTGGACCAAGAGGGGATATTTAATTCTACTTTATTTCAGGGGGGGTCTTCTCCTGTACTTTCTAGCCCCCTGGCCCCCCCAGGAACACGTCCACCCAATCTGTACTTGGACTCAGTGAGTCCAGTCAATAACACAAAGGATGGACTGATGGAAATAGATAGATAGATAGATAGATAGATAGATAGATAGATAGATAGATAGATAGATAGATAGATAGATAGATGAGAAAGAAGAGAAGGGGGGAGAGAGAGATGATACAATAGAATTTATGAACGTGCTACTTGAAAAGATAGGCAAATCCCTGTAAATTTACCTCTTTTTATTATTGTAAATTCAGCAAAGTCAGAAGAAGGATGCAGTCACTAAGAAAAACAACAATAAAGGCTAACAGTAGAGGTTGGTTCTCTGCAGTGGGGGGGTGTCTTCTCTCTTTAGGGCCCCCAGGCTCACCATGCAAAAGAGGAGACACCACAGGGCCTGGTTGTCAGTCAAGCGGAAGCACTTTGCACATGTACAGGAGAAAGGACCCCAGCATGGAAGTCTACCAGTTGGTGTGGGGGGAGGGGGATGAAGAGAGAAGAGAACGGGTCAAGATGAGCACCAGAAGGCTTGGACCCCCAGACCTCCCCCCAAAAGGGTGCCTGTTCCAGCCCAGGCTTTGCAGCTTTGGGGAGGCCGATGGGTGCCCGTCACGCAGCTCTCAAGGGCTGGGTGCACGAGGGCAAGAGAAGGCGGCGAAAGTGCTGCGTGGGCATCAAAGGCAAACTTTGCAGGGGTGCAAATTGTGCTTAGAGGCAGACGCAGCTTTGTCTCCCCCATTGATCCACAGGGAGCCTCATTTGGCCTCTATCGGACAACAGCATCCCTGAACATGCCCAGAGTGCCCGGCCCTCTCGCCTCTTCACAGTGGCAGCGCTCCGGATGCAAGGGGGAAAATTCTGCTGACGGTTGCTCACCGGCCCTCCCAGCTCTTTCTGAACCCCTGGAATTAAAACAGGGGCAGAGGCTGCCTCTGGCCACCCTCGCAGGGCTCTCAGAAAGTGGCACGGGCTGCCTGGCAGGGGCGGGTGGCAGGATCCCATCAGAGCCCCCCACGGCCAGGGAGAATAGCAGAAAGACCCCGACTGAGCCGAGCCAGCTGGGCCCCTGAGCAGGAGAAGGGAGATGCCTGGCATGGACTCACCCGGGGCAAAGGCTGGTTCCTCCGGGGAAGTCTCTCCTAGACGGGGTGCCTGGATGGGCTCTGCTCCGTTCTGCTCTCTGCAGCCGTCCTGGGCAGCTCTGAGCCAGGCCAGCTTGTTTGCATTAAATCTGGTTTCATGTGGGAATGGGAGGGTAGGAAGAGGGAAGGGCAGGACAGCCCCAAACAGCTCCCCTCTCCGTCCCTTCCCTCCTCTTTTCTTCTGGAGGCAGAGCCCCCTCCTCGCTGGGAGGGACCGTGCAAGGCACAAGGGGGGGCCGGGCTGGAGGGGGGAGATTCCTGTCCTGCACATCTTCCCAAAGGCAGAAGTCCCAGAAATGGCTCACCAAAAATTTCTTTCTTTCTTTTCTTTCTTTCTTTCTTTCTTTCTTTCTTTCTTTCTTTCTTTCTTTCTTTCTTTCCTTCCTTCCTTCCTTCCTTCCTTCCTTCCTTCCTTCCTTCCTTCCTTCCTTCCTTCCTTCCTTCCTTCCTTTGTTCCTTTCTGTTTCATATCTGCGGCAGTTTTGGACGAGCCATCTGGAGGAAAAAGGAATGCTGGTTTGTTTTAACTTGGAACCGTTGCTCATATTTCTCTCTCTCTCTCGGTTCCTGGCTCTGGACAGGCACTAACCAGGATTCAAATGTAAATGCAAAAGTCGATGCAAAATTGCTTTAAAGGGAGGAACCAGGTGTCAAGGGAAGGGGCAAAGAAGCCACTTTCTAAGCCCATAGCAAGTTCTGAATCCTCTTCCAAATTATTTGCCCCAGAAGAACATGGGTGCATCTGAGCATGTACTAAGTTTCCTTTCTTTCTCAAACAGCCTGTTTGGTTTTCTCTTCTCCTTGATTATGGTGTCTCACTGAGGAAAGATTGGCGGAGAAGATAAATGTTGGCATTACACTAAGCTTTAGCAAGTTGCAGAAACATGATTGTGAAAGGAGCCTGTTGTGGCTTATTCCACAATCCCTGGGCAAATTGCATAATTTAATTCAATTAGGTGCCAGCAAATGAAATGAGGGTGCTACGTTTCTAGTCAGCGCAATGGAGGAATGTCAAATTATACAGCAAATCCCTCCTCTTCCAGAGTCCGTAATGGGTGGTTCTGCTGCACAACGCGCACACACACACACACAGAGGTTTGTGGTTAAGGCATCTCCAGAGAACCATAGTTTTATTCCAGTCAAGCCTGCAAATGAAACTTGAAACCCTTCTTTGCTTTGAGTTTCTTCAGGACCCCGGGAGAGTGCAGGGAGGAGGCTGAGAGAAAGAGGGCAAGGGAAGAGTTAAGCTTTAAAAATTATTTTTCCCCTCTAAAATGCCTTATCAGGATCGTAAATACATTGCTGTCACATCCTAGGAATTCTCACTGGCGGCAGAAAGAATTCCAAGACACGAACTCTTTCCTATGAGAAAGAAAAGTCAAATGAAGCCAAGACTGGGAAGATATTTGCAAAGATTTCTGCCTTTCGGTTTTCCTGGCTTTTTTCCTCCCAAAAAGGATGTGGCAGTTGAGCAAATGCAGCTTCTCAAGGGCGCTGCAGCTGTAAGTAGAGCGAAGGCTAAAGAGCAGATCCAGAGAAGGGGAATCTCAGATTGTGGGGATCACACGGAGGGCAAAGATGTTGAGGAACTTGAAAGCTGGCAGGTCTTTATGACTCCAGGGCAGGGAGTCAAAATCACACCCTCCATGGGGCAGGCTCCAGAGATCACGTATGTATGCAGCAGGAACAGGAGACAACACACACACACACACACACACACACACACACACACACACACACACAGAGTAAGAAAAGGACGCCTGGGAATACCAGGGAGATTGCATTGGGAATTATCATCCCGCTGGCATCCAGTAACTTCCCTGGAGGAAGCATGCTGGCTGGGGGATTCTGGGAGTTGAAGTCCAGACAGCTTAAAGTAACCAAGGTTGAGAAAGACTGAACTAAGGGCTTGTCTCTGTACAAAAGCCACCTTTGAAATGGCAAAGCAGCAGGCTGGATGGCTTGCCCCCCACACGGGGGTCCCTCCCAGGCTAAAATGATGCTGCCTGTGGCTTGGTGAGCCCCAAGATCACTGTAGCTCTCTGCCACTCTCTAATTTGGCTCCTCCTGCAGCCCTGTGGAGACGCTGGAGCACAGGCCTAACCGGCAATTTAGCTGAATTCTCTGGCTGGCTCTGCTTGTAATTTGGGTTGGGTATTTTTTTATTTTATTTTACTTTCCCCCCCTCTCTTCCAGCTGAATCAGCAGCTCCATGCCCAGAGATTGCCAACTGCTAACCGGCTGCAAAGACAGTCTTTGTTGCGTAGCGTTTGCACACCTAAAGGAAATTATTTGGCTCTCAGGAGTCTGCAAGCATTGCCTGCAAGTATTGCAAGTCACAAGGGCACTGAGAAGGGCAGTCCTCGCCCTTACGACCGTTGTAGCAGCATCTCCCACGGTCACAGGATCAAAATGGGAGTGTTTGCAGCCAGCAGGTATTTGCGATGGCTGCAGCGTCCCAGGTGCAGGGGAGCGCCATTTACAATCCTCTCCACCTGGTTGGAAGAAAGAGTTGGGGGTTCCAAAGTGAGCCGAGGCTGCGCAAGAACAAATAAAAAAGAGATCCAAGGAGGAAAGAGGAAACATTTACTCCTAAAAGCAAAACAGTTTCTCTTTAGGGGCAGCTGCAGAGAAATGGGGTACAGGGGCTGACTTTTATAGGAGGAGCTTGAAGTGTCTACGTGTTGATTCTAGGGTGACACTTGAGAGGTGTGCGCGTGTCTATGTGTGTGTCTGTGTGTGTGTGTGTGTGTGTGTGTGTGTGTGTGTGTGTGTGTAGGTATGTTTATTCTTATGAACATGCAGTTCTTCTGGGAGACCTAATTTAATTAACTCTGTTTGTGTTTGCAGACCTTAACTTTTGATATGCAGATCAGGTCTGGGTAACTTACTGTATTGCGGGGTTTGAGGAAGTTTTAGTTGATTCACTGAGTTTCAGCTTGACTGTCAATTATCTAGTGGGAGACGCTGATCCTCAGGCCATTGTGGATTCTGTTAATATTTTAAGGGAAGATGGAAACAGTACAAAGAATAAAACATATGGGGATATAAAACTTCCCACAACCTTTTCCGACTCACAGATTTTATTAAAAGGCATCAGCTGCAGCTCTCAAAGACTTTTTAATAAAATTTGTGAGTCGGAAAAGGCCACAGACCGACTCCTGATGTTTTGCCCCCACAGATTAAACCGGCTCTCCCCCTACAAGGACTAGAAGCATGTTTTGAAACCAGATGCCAAGATTAGGAGGAAACTAGGCTCAATGTTGGCCTTTCTGAAATGCCGGAGGGAAGGGGTCTCCCCAGCCAAGGGCTGTCTTGAGGGTTTTCGATCTTGCGTTTTCCAGGACACCGTGCCTTCTTCTGGGGCTTTCTGCACTCTGCGGATGGAGCCAGGAGACAGACTGTTGGGTCTACTGCGTTAACCTTGACTGTCTTCTCCTGGGTTATCTGCGGCCTTGGCTTTGACCAGAAAAATCAAGGCTGTTTGACTTTGCAAGCCAGAAGCAAGGATGACGAGAAGAAAGGAGAGTTTGAAAAAGAGGGAGGAGAAGTATCTGAGTGTCTTTTCACAATAACTGGTGACTTTCCTAATTTGGGGTACCAAACAAGGCAGCCCTAAGAATACAGACAACTGAGTTCTGCATCTGCTGATCCAGAAAATCTTAGATTATCCCCTTCTTAAACTGAGATCATCATTCTTGGCAACCTTGAAAGCCTCCGTAACTCTTCTGGGCTAGGAATTCCTCTGAAGGTCTCTACCATCCCAGAGATGGGTGGGTAGATCTGAGCTGTTGCCCAGAATTCAAGGACCACAGGCGCTGTGGGGTCCACGATCCTTAAGGTGGGTCCTGGGGAAGCCCATCCTGCAACTTGCTTGGAGACCCCACAAGGAGCGGGAACGGGCTGCCTTCTTACACCCTATCCGTGCCCCAAACGGACAAAGCTGCAGGTCAGCTGAGTATGGAGATGAAGCCTTTGGGGATGAATCCAGCTTTGACCACAGCTGGCAGCAAATGAAGCTGACCCTTGGAACCGTTTGCCTCATGGCCCATCCAGGGCCTGACCTCACCCCAGGCAGTTGGAGGAACAAGCCCTTTGGGGGAATGCCTTGCCAGTCTGGAACTTGAAGGGTTAGAAGGGCCAAATGTGCAAAGCAGGGAAGGCAGTGATGGCTTTGCAGGTGGAGGCCAGCTCAGTGAACACAACACACACACAACACACACACACACACACACACACACACACACACACAAGCCTATTTCTTTGGAAGTGGGCTGGAGAAACAGAGTCTTTTGGCTGAAGCTCAATGGAGAGCCAGTCCAGGAGAGCCGCCCTCAGCCTTGTGGGCATCAGGAATGCCTCTGATGTGTCCGAGGTTGGCTCTGCAGGGTTTCATTGTGGCCACCAGAGGGTCCACCCAAATGCCCACCTTGAGGGAGGAGTTCTCTTCCCCAAACCGCTCCATCCCCAGCGCAAGTTGGTCTCCGTGGAGCCCTGCAGCTTTGCACGTGGCGATGAAGGAGGAGGTGGAAAGCCCCACAGCTTTGTTGAAAGAAAATCACCCTCCTGGGGGAACTGCAGGCCCTTTTTTCTTCTAGGAGGCAGTGGGGCCTGTCGTCCATGAGGGACAGCAAGTTGCAGTGTCCGGAAGAGTGCAGATGAAGAGCCCAGAACTGTCTGCATGGGGGCACGGCCTGGCTTGGGGGTCAGGGAACAAAGGCAGATTCCCAGACTTCTTTGGGGCAGGACTGGGTATTTCCAGCATCCGCCAGTTCTCAAGTTCCCACCTGAGTTTGCATGCAAATTAAACCCATTTGCCTCCATCATGAACTGCGGGGTGGAAAGCACCCCCAGCTGATGTCTGGCTTTGGATTTTTCACTGGCAAAAATCCTGGTGACGATTCCATGGATGGCTGGGAGAAAGAGATGCCGCAAGCAGCCTTGCCTGGCAGCAGAGCTCAAGCAGGACTCTGTGCCTCCCAGCATGGGAGAGCTGATTCATCCTGATGGAATGAAGGTTTACATTCCCGACTGGGATGTCAAGGGGGAATTTGCCTCAGATGGATAAATCCCAAAGGCAGGAAGAATGGAGAGGTGGTGGATGTGTGCCAGGTCACAGCCTTGGGGGAAAGGGCTCTGGATCTCCTTGGGATGGGCTGGCACCGGGCATCCCCATTCAGCATCAATGGTAGAAGGGCGGGCAGCTTCTGGGCAGGCTGAATTGCAAGGGAGCCCGGAGAAGGAAGATTGGCAACAGAAGCATTGGCACCCTTGCAGATCCCCTCCTTCCAAATGAGCCTTATTTGGAGAAAGTGTGCCCACAGAGGGCATCAGAAGGGGCACAAAAGGCTAAAAGAAGCCATGGGTGGGGTCAGAACCACTAACTGACTAATTTAGAAGCTTCCGCTTGGTGTGGCAACCTGTGGAGGATGGATGTTTCCTGCTCCAGTCACTTCCGTTTCCCATTTCTCTTCTTTAACCTTTTGCATCCAGGGCACTTGGATGTTGGCACCGACTACCTCTGCCAAGGAAGTGCCCCACTCAGATAAATGCCTGGAAAATGATGCCTGCTTGTGTTATACCTCAGGGAAGAAAATGTAGAATGCCAGGGTAAAGCAGACACTTTTAAAAAAATAATGGATGTTGATCCTCAGGGACTCTTTCTCTCCGTTTACAATGTCCCACCTGGACCCTTTTCCAGAGCTTTTCCTCTGCCAATTCCCACACTCTTGGCAGTTCACAAAAAGGGGCACCGGCCTGTAGGTGCTCCAGAGGGAAGGCGGGAAGGAGGGGGGCCACAAGATCCAGGATCCACACGGCCTCTTTACAAAGAGGACTCTGTGCCAGCACTAATGGGGGTTTAGGCTGGAGCACATCTGGTTTGAATTGCAGAGCAGGGATAAATCAACAACAGACAAGGAAGGAGGAGACAGGAGCTGCCAAGGAAAGATGGGACATGGAGCGCAGTCTTTGGATCTTCAAGACAAAGCAGACACCTCCTCTTGCAACTGCAACAGCAGTTAGTATTTGGGGCAAAGAGAGCTGGCAGACAGACAGAAAGAGGCTGATGCTGGGCTTTCCTTGACAGGCGGGTGGAAGCAATAATGGATCAAATTCCAGTGATTTATGACCCCCCCCATGACAGCACTTGCCAATTTTGCTCGGGCTGAGAATAAACCTTGAAGGCAAAATTCCTGCACGTTTTGGACCTACATATGTCTATATCCCCATTACATTCAGAGCAGTGTCAAATGTGCTTCTAAATTGATGCACAGTTGATGTGTTTTGTGTGCATCCACGTCTATAGAAGTCTGGCTATGTGTTTAAAATATATCAACATCTGCAAATATCAATAAATAGGATATAAATAGGGAGAGTGAAAGACCAGGTCTAAAGTGATGTTTACACTTCTCTGTCTCTCTAATGGTCTTCCTGGTTTGGGCCGCCATCTCGTGGCAATGAGGAGTGTTGTCTTTTACTATATTGTGGGTCAAGAGGGCTTTCCGTCTTCTTCAAATGCTTCTCCCAAAATGTTAGTGGTCAAGGATGTGTCACAACTCCAAGGAGCATTTTCAGGCTGGGAAGCAACAGGAGGGCTATGGTGCGAAATCTGAGCAACCCATCTGGGAACTTTTCAGTGCTTTCAAAAAGTATTAAACATTTTTTTTTAAAAAAAATGTTCCTCCGGTTACTCTAAAAAAAATAATAATCCAGGAATGGATGAGATACGTGGCATTTCTAACACATTTGCGAATGAGGGATTTTCCCTAGATTCTAGAACATATTCAAGTAAAAGAAGAGAATTGCACAATAAAAGATTTGTCTGTAAACACCCCTGAAATTTCACAGTCTAAGTGGAAAACCTTTTTATCTGATGCTACAACAGGAAAAAAGTGTTTCCATTATGAACATCTGAGATCGGTCAGCACAGAGGTAGATTTCAGTTTTGTAGGATTCTATTCAAAACCAACAACTCATCAGAAACCAAAAGCCCTTTCCTTCCTTCCTCCCTCCCTCCCCTCTCTCAAAGGGGCTCCTTTGAAAGCTGCATTTTTTTCTCTCCCTTAAAGGCAGCCCGGCTGGGCATTTGGCAGAATGGAGACCCTGCCTTAACCACAGTGGCTGAGACCTTCCTGGGGGGGAGGGGGGTTCTGCAAAACAAGTTTCCATCCCAGGTTTGCATCAGAGGCAGGCCTGGCCCCCTCTGAGTCATCTCCAAGGGCCCAACGAGATGTTTTCCTCTCGGGCTGATGTTGCAAGATTACGGGCAGAAAAGCCTCTTGAAAAGGGAACATACAGAACCTGTGAGCTTCCTTTAGAAAAACTGCCCATCTTTAAGACTAAAGGTTTGGCCATTGCTTTGAACTCAGGGGCCTGCCAATGTCCGTCCTCTCTCTCCCACACAGAGGAGGAACTTCTATGAGGTTCCTCAGAACCTGCAGGTTCAGGAGAAGTCTAGCTGAGATACATTCCTGGAAAGCTTCCACACCTACTCTGGAGATTCCGGGAGGCAGTTGAATTATCCATCAGAATAAGAGGTGGATAAATATGTTTCCTTTCTGCAATGATGAGAAATGAATTCTACCCATTTCTGCACCATTTTTTCCCTCTGTTTTGGTCAAAAGTCCACAGACAATCCATCTGCAATTTTGGCAATATTTCCCCCCAAAGTATTTTGCTGATTGTTTTCATTTAATTCATACCGTTTTTACAAGCCATTTTCCCTCCTTCCTTTGCCTGCAATGGTCTCCAATGTTTGAGGATCGCTATCACAACAATTTAAAAAACTGCACCTCAAATTTAGAGACCAGCTGGTAAAAAATGAAGGACTTTTCTGCAAAACAAGTCCTACTAAATGCCAAAAAAAGAGAGATTGTGGCTGGCAGGTGGTACCCATGACCAAGGTCTGGGTGGTGAGGAAGAGAAATCAAAACAATGAAGTAGAAATAGGGAACCAGAAGAAAGTTGAAGGTGGATGAGGAGGGGCTGAGTAGTTTGTAGATACAAGGACCCAAAAACAAATGGCAGGAAGAGAAAAATTTCCTTTATGTTTTGTTGCAAAACTGGAAGAGAGAAGAGAAAGTTTAGAACTGAGGTGAGAGCAAAATCCAAGCCAGGCACAAGGAGCCCAGATTAGGGAAATGGGACTTTCCAGTTTCTGAACATCCCACAACAGGATCTGGGCTGGGCCCAGAATACAATGTTTCTGCACTGGCCGATTGGTTCCAGGGATGCTACAACCACTGTTGCGTTTCAAAATGTTTAATTATTTTAAATGTTGATTGCTTAAGACTCCCCCTCCAGTCAACTCAAATTCAAACATAAACCCATCTCAAAAACAGTCTAGAAATCTTAATTCTCTAGCAAAATACAAAAAAGAGGAACTGTCTAGGTCTGTTCTAATGCTGAGACTTCACGCTTCAGTTGTTACTTTCTAGACATGATGGCTTCAAAAAAAGGAAACGAGAACTCTTCCTGTGGCAGAGGAGTAGCTGAATACGATCTTCAGGGTCTGGGGGAACAGAGAGGACCGAAGCCTTGAGCTCCTGGGAGGAAACCGAGTAAAATCTAACTAACAAATAATTTACATATTTCAGAATGTCTCCTTTCTTCACCCCTAACTTGATCTGCAGGCTGCAGAAAAACGCTAGGCAAAGTCTTGTTTTTAACAAGCCACAATAGTTCTCCAAGAAACGACAGTTTGCAAAATGTAAATGTTGGGTTTCTATAGCAGGCAAACACATGCATGCATGAGTCAGAGCGTTAGGTCCACCCAGATGAGAAGATACGGATGTACCGCAGATAGAGTCATCTGGGTGCAGAGGACCGTCTTGGAGAAGATCAAGAGGCTCTAAGAAGGTGGACCAGAGATGTCTGGAGCACCACAAAAGCACCCTGTTAATGCTCTGGGAGGAAGCTGTTCAGGGTTAGGTTGTCCGCCTCCGTCTCAGACGCTGTGTCCCCGAGAAGTTGTACCCGCTTCACCTTGGGATGCCTCCTCCTCCTCTCCTCCTCCTCCTCCTCCTCCTTTTCAGCAGAGAGCAGGGACGAGATACAGACCATCTCTGTGTGGTTGGCCTGGCCCAGTCTGTAGGCTCTCTTCTGACGCCACAACAGGATGGCCAGGACCCCAGAGCACACAATGAAGATGGCGGCCACCAGGGCCAGGAGAAGGATGGCCAGCAAGCACTTTCCCATCAGAAGGTTGATGTCCTTGGCAAAGGGAGATTCCCCTTGGGTGGTGGCTGAGGACCCCGATGTGGTAACACCCAAGCTTTGTCTTGGGGACCGTGTAGAAAAAGCCAAGGAGGTAGAGACCATTTCATCCAGCCATTTCTGTGTTTTATGGGGCTCAGGTGTGGCTGTTGCAAGGAGGGGTTTCGCCCTTGGATTTAGGCCTGGCCCACCTGAGTCCAAGCTATGGAGGGCTGTGGAAAAATCTGTGTCCTCCTCCAGAGTCTGAGATGTAGACAAGATTTCATCCAGATGTTGTGGCATTGCAGTGGAACCAGATGTAGCTGTTATGGGAAGAATTTTTATTTTTGACTTTAAGTCTGGCCCAGGAGAGTGTGGGATGTGTTTCTGGGTAGCTGTGGAAAACCCGGAATCGTCAATCAGATTGTGAGAGGACGCAGCAGATACCAGCTCATCCAAGAGTGCCAAACTAGGTGTGACTTTTTTTGACAAAGAAGAGAATCTGTCTTTTCTTTGGGGGACAGGCCTGGTGGTCTCAAAGTCTGGCTCCAATGTCTCTGTGGAAAGAGATGCCTGAGGGGGTTTGGAGGTGGCATCAACCAGCCACGGCCACGTCACAGTCGCTTCCTGGGGAAGAAGCTTGGATGCTTGGATGCTTGTCTTGGTTTTTGTTTCAGGCAGCATGTTCTTCGGGGAAGCTTTGAATGCAATTTTGGTCATAATCTCCACAGGAAAGGAGGTGGTCTCTCCCTGCAGAACCTTTGAGAGGCTTGAAGCTGTTGGAAGGGCTGGAGGCCTTTTGGCATGTTTTGTGATTGGTTCCTGTCTTTTTTGAAGGAACAACTGAGAGGATCCCTTACTTCCATCAGCTGCTGCTTTCCACTTCCAATCGCTTGTGTTGGCAGGAGACTCCACGTTCTTTGTGCTGGTGCCATCTTGTAGGCTCTTGAAGTCAGCAACTATGAGGAAGCCTGAGAGAACCAAGGGCAAGAAGAGCCAGCAGGAGGCCATTTTACCTGATGCAAGTAGGAGAAAGTAAAAGACATGGGTTATGAGGTGTCCACACAAATAATCACCCTCTACTTTTTCCTTCACAAAAACATCTCCAGCATAGCTAAGAAACCACGGGAGTAGGGGGCTCAACATCCAACTTACCCAGTGAACACAGGATGGGAAAAGGTCTTTTATCTAGAAGATGATGAAAAATTAAAGCAGGTCAAGGAAGATATCCGGAGCACTTGGGCTCCACCTTCCCCGTTTTAAGATCCTCATTTCTGAGAACAACTTTTCTGGCTTCATTTGGGCCAAGAGGGATGCTCACCAGAGAGAAGGAACAGTCATACTAATATTTACGTTACCCACCCCCATGGAGATACTTTTGTGGCATTCTTGCACATAGATGACGGCCAGAAGCACCACATAAGAAGCCTGGACAGTCCCTGTAAATCAGCTCAGAGTTTCAATTTCAGAGAATTCTGGAGGAGGACTGACTAAGAAAGTTTCCTATGAGTTTACCACAAGTTGCAGCCCAGCCTTGCTCTCTTTTCAGAGAGGTGGTTGTACCCACTTGCTCACTTCCGTAATGCCCCACAGCACTCAAGAAGGGAACACAAGCAATTGCCACCGGTGGAGCGAATTCAGTTCTTTAGAACTTGAAGTTATCAACCTCTTTGCACCGATCCACATATGGGAGGAGCACAGCACAAATGAAGTGAAGTTTCTTTGCTTATCTTCACTAAATCAGAGACCCCAAAGCAACTTTCAATCAGCCCCATCCCTGGGAATGAAGTTCTGGATTACACCTTCCGCAACCCAGTTTGCCTCCAGGAGCCTACCGCCTGGCCAGAACCCGAGGCTGCTTCTTCTCCCCACCACTATCATCCACCACCACAATGTCCTACTCTCAGGTGCCCCCCCTTAGCGAACCAGCTCAGCTGCCACCCAAAGGAAACTTAGCCAGGAGTGTAAACGGCCCTTTGGTCCAAGAGCTGGAGAAGACATCTGTGAGGGACAGAGGCTACCCTTAGCACTGGCTCTTCTGGCTGCCTGGTTCTCCTAGCCAGCGCCGAGAGAGAGATCCCCGCGCCTTCCCCTCCGGCTGAGACCGGCTTACCTGCTACGAGAGAAAACAGGAACCCTGTGTCAGGGCAGCATGAGAATGCGAAATCAGAAGAGCAGTTTGGAGGACACATGATGCAGCTTCCTTGGGGGGGGGGGGAGGAAGAAGGCTGTGCGTATGAGTAGCAAAAGAAGAACTGTGGTTATGAGACTTTGCACCAGATCAGGGCTCAGGAAGGGTGGCGTTGCGCTTTTATCAGCAAGGCGGTTCCGTGCTTGGTTTCTCTGCACTAAGAAGGTGCAGGACCAGCTCAGGATGGCGACACATCTCTTCACAGGTATGGAGGGGCCTAAGGCCAACCGTCTGGAGGGGGTCTCCAAGGACCACCATCGTGTAATGTCAAATTGGTCAAAATAAACCTGGAAGTTTCCAAATCAAGAGTTCCAGTGGCCAAGATGTCATATTGCTGTGCCAATCTGGAAGTGGTGCAGGTTTGGGGTGTAAGGAGTGACACTAGGCTGGGTAAGATGCACAGCATCTCGGGGTGGGGGCAAAGCCGTTGGGTGACCCCAGAGCACCTGGATTTTGAAGTAGGGCCAGCAGCTGATTTGCACACAAACAGCTGTGAGATTGCCTGCAACTAATCCAGCTGTGCTCGTCTGCTGCAGAGTTCCTGAATTTGGGGTGAAGAGCCTGCACAGCTGAGATTTCCTGCCATGCCTGGAGGGAAGTGACACCGATGTGTAATCCACCAAGTGTCACTTCCTAGAAAGGAGGCCACCTGTGAATTTTTGTAGGACAGGGAGATGCTGCATCCTGACACTCCCCCCCCTTTTCCTGGAAAGTAGCCCAGCAACCGTCTGATCTTCCTTCTTGCCTCTTCCAGAAGGGGGAGGAGGAACTACTTCTGGGAGCTGAGTGAGATCTTCTTCCAGGGGAAGAACACACGGTGTTCTCAAGCTTGTCCGTCTTGAGATGCACAAAGGTGTTTTCTCAAAACGGGCGTCCTAACTTGAGGTCTCAGCCTCAGCAGGACAGGTCAACTCCTCACTGTAGCAGAAGCCCCCCCCCCCCCCGGCCAGCCTCGAAAGGGAACACACTTTGATGGCTTGAGTTACACATTTGCCGAACCAACCAGTCACCCCCAGGGCTCCCAGTAGCCTCTTCCAGAAAAAGCTGGTGCACAATGTGGGTTTGGTACTTAATTTTCTTTTAATCATTTGAAATTGGAAGCAAGTATTTGGACATGACACAACGGGAGGTCTTCTACCAGCACACCCCCTCGGAGGCCATGGCTGGCCACGGTTTAGGCAAGAAGCTGCGGGCCCAGCATCACCCGTCCAGTTAAATGAAACAGCAATGGCCCAGGAAGCTTCTGAGGGACTTTCACCCGCCCTGCAAGAACCACACCAGGGTAACTAATACTGTTGGGGCAGAAGAGAGCACACATGTTTCTGAAAGAGAATGATCGCGTTCCTTCCCTCTTCAATAAGGAGATGCAACTGTGGCCCCTTTACGATCTGTGGACTACAACTCCCAGAATTCCCTCCACAGGTTGTAAAGGGGCCATAATTGCCCACCCCTGATCTCCAAACTTCTGCTGACTGTAAACACAAAACATGCCCGAAGGTGAAGCTGACCTGATGTACGTAACGGCTTTCTCCATCTTCGAGACTACAATTCCCAGAATTCTTGGTGTTGGCTGCGACTCTTGGGAGCCACAGTCCGGAAGATGCCAAGTTGGAAAAACTTAAGAGTTTGGCAGTGTAAATAATGAGGCCCTTTGAAAACTCTTCTCTAGCCCAAGGGAACCAGACTCCTCCAGCCTCCCCCAACTCAGGATTCACCACCACCAATATTCTCTAACTTTCCCACTCCTTCATATCATTGTTCTACACTATCTTATCTCGCTGGGTCTGCTGCCTCCAGCCCATTTCCTGCAAACGTCCCCTTATCTGTCCACATGACTTCTTTTCTCTAACCTTTTCTGGCCTTTTTAACGGCCACTTTAGGGACCCTCCCAAAACAGTGGATGAGAAAGGCAGCTCAGTGGGACTTTAACCCCCCATGAAGCTGTGTAGCAGCAGCCAGAGAGAGGTGCATGTGTGTGTGGAGGGGGGGGGTTGAACATGGTAGGCACATCATGCTTGGAGCAAAGAGACCAACTACCTTCCAGACTTAGGACTTTGAGCCCCTGGAGACTCTCTGAAGGCCCAGAAGGAATAGAATTGTTGGCTGAACAAAAGTCACAGGACGACATTAGAAATATTCATCCATGGATTAGCCTTTAAACTGCCCAAATCTATCTGTAACATTCCCCACGTTCAAAGCTGTACGACAGGCTTCTATCCCCATGAGGATCTTTCCTGAAAGGTCTCTGGCTTTTGACAGCATCGCATTCCCAGAATCCTTCTGGCGTTTTGACTCTGGGGCCCATCCAAGGTGCGTGCACGTGCACACACACACACACCAGGTTGCAATCTTTTCCCTTCTCAGCAATTGGTACACAGCACCGTGGCACGTGGCTCTCGCCCCCTGGGAACCGCTGAGGAGTCACTGCTGAGCAAGACCAGGAGCTTTGAGAAGGCAGCCTCTGCAAGACTCTGGGTGGGACGCTTGGCAAGAGGAGACCTGGGGAAGGAGGGAAGGAGGGAAGGCAGGGACGTCACCCCTCTTTTCACCGAGATCTGTTTTTGCATTCTGGAGAAGAAAGCAGCAGCCAGGGCACTGTTCCACCTGGTGGCAGAGTCACCCTCAGGGGCAGCAGCTACTTCTGCAAACGCCCCGGGTGGCTCCCAGATCCCATCAAAGGGACTGGTGAAGCCTGGAGCCCCCTCTGAGGGAAAGGGGGAAATCCCAAATCCGCTCCCCTGCAGCAGCAGTTCAGCAAGGCGCCTTGATGGGAAGGTTGGGTGTCCCAGACAAGGTCCCCCATCTCTGCTGCATTGAGACCACCAGAAGGAACGGAGAAAATGGAGAAAACCCCGTCTGAAGCCAGCAGAGAAGCCCCGGTCAACAGGCTTTGCAGGGGGACACTCTCCAAACTGCCCATGGAGCTGCAGCAGGGATGGCTGGACTTCCAAGTTGCTCCAAAGCCCGGGGCTCATGCTTGCATCGTGGGGGCACCTGAGGCAGCCGAAGGCCCTTTTGCTAGCAGGATGGGGAGCAAGGAGGGTTTGCAGGTCAGCCGAGCTTGGAGCAGAGAGGAGGAGGGAGGGAGGGAGGTGCGCATAAATAACTTCAAAGAGCTTCCCAACAGCTTGCAAAATTTAGTGCATTTGTCCTTAATGTCCCAAATTTGTCATATTTTTTTTATAACCTTGTAACACCTGGATGATAAATAGAACAAACATCTGCAGGAAACACAGACCCAGGAATCAGCAATCACAACATGCCAAAGTTTGACACGATTAAGATTAAACCAAAGCTCAACAAATGCTTGAATAAAGACTCCCCAGATTTGAGAGAGGGCGCTCTGGGGAAGGTGGGGGGGAGGGTGTTCAGTCCCTTGGAATGGCAGCAGATGGGAAAGCAAGGCTGCCTCCCCCCCCCTCAAATCCACGCAGATTTCAGGGAATCAGAAATCGGAGGGCGGAAACATTAAAATTGGGCCTTTCGGACCCGGCAGGGGGGTGACCGCCCCGGTTGCTCAAAGGTAAACAGGCATACACAACTTGTTGTTGCTCAAATGGCACAAATAGACAACGTCCTTTTAGATTAAAAACACAAAATACTGTAAAAAATGCTAGAAAGGAAAAAAAATAAAATGAAAAGTTTTGGATTTTGGCAACTTGAAAGTAAAATAAAAAACACGTGTACGTGGGTGTGTGTGTTTTCAAACAAAGTAATTTTGGTCCCCGATTCTAGGAAGTTCGGCAGGGATCCCAGAGTCTTACGGACCCCGTGGAATGGCTGACCCTCCGACCGATGGACAAAGGCGAGGATGGAAGCGGCAGTGCCTGTTCTGAAATGGCCACAAAGACGTCAGGACACAAGAAGGTTGGCTGCCCTGCTGGACACGGGCGTCCGCTGACCGGCCGTGACAGGGCTGGGCTCCCTGGCCGTGCCTGTCCGCAGCCCTGCAGGTGGCTCACAGTCCGAATCCTGCTTCCTCCTCCCCCTGCCCCTCCCCCGCTGGCTCTCAGACGGCCATCTTCGCCACCTGCTGTTCTAATCTGGAAATGCGCTCGTCCTGATACGCAATTGTGTCTTTTAGCGACCGCAACTCCTTCAAGATTTCTTCCAATTTGGCTTCGTTTTGCTGTGACAAGGAGAAAGAGACAAGGACCATCAGTCCTGAAGTGGGGATGGGAAGGACCCAGAATGGGGAGGGGGGATAAGGGAAGCCCCCAACCCAGCTCGGCTAAGAGCAGCTCAGGCTGCAGCTTGACTAAGAGGGATGGATTTGCACCAGGCCCATGGACTTCTGTCTGAGCAAAGGACAATCTCCTCTGGCGGGGAAGGGCTGGGGTGTTTCTCTCACAGGGTTTGAGGTGTCCATCGCTTTCTTTGGGGTGCTGATGAGATCACTCTTCTTGTTGGCAGCCGGCTTGTTGTCCAGGATGTTCTTCTTGACCACCTTGAGGTCCCGGTTTTTCCCTGGGATGTAGCCGTGTTTCAAGGAGATGAGGAGGGGGTCGGCGTTCTTCCCCTCAAACCACTCCTCGGCTTCCAGGGCAGCTTCGGGCCCAGCTGTGTCAGGATAGAGGTCATCCTGAAAGAGGTCAGACTGGGAAAGGAGGAGTCAAAAACAAAAAAACAGGCATCAATCCGGTCAGTTGACCTGCCTCGGGCAACTCGGTCAAATCGCACAAACCCAGAAGAACCGGGCTCACCTTCCGAGGGACGGTCATGACTATCGGTTCGCACTTCCTCTCGTGAAGTTTGTAGAACCTGGGAAGGAGATTGAGAAAACAAGCCAGCATCTCAGCAACGTCTGAAGGAGAGGGGGAGCATCCCCCCCTCCCGGTCACCAGAAACCAGGCCGAGAAGCTGAAGCCGAGCCAGGATGGTTCTGCAGTCCCAAAGCCGGGCAGATTTTTCACCCCAAGGACTCAAGGCCTCCACTGGGGGGAGGTGGGGTTGCGGTTCAGGGTTCGAGGGGCGATGGCAAGGCCTTAGGGCGGCCCAGACTCCCTGCTTGGGGCTCCCC